TACTCTTTAATTTAGTAATTTTGAACATAAATTTTTAAAAGTTTCAAAATTTTATAAAAGTTCTTGCTCATATTTAAAAATTTTCAAATAAAAATTATTATAAAATAAAACACTTTTCTCTTAAAATTTACTCTACAAGAAGTCTTAGCGTTTTAATATTTTAAACATTAACTCTGAAAATTTTTGTAAGAAAATATTATTTCTTAAAATAAAATAATCGGCTTTGGAAATGGAAAGCAGAGCTGCAAGATCAGAGAACGTCATGTTGGTGTAGAAAATGACTTGATTCTTATGAGTTATCCTTCCGAAATAAAAAAACAGAATAACATATTAACATGAAGCATTGAAGCAGAGCAGAATAATGAAAAATTCCCAAAACACAGGTGGGCACCCAATAAGAAGCAGAGGGGAGAATGGTAGAGAATAACCATTAATTTAACAACATATTACTAATTTAATTTAATACAAATAATTTAACAAACAAAGTATTTTTGTGATAATAATTACGATAAAAAATATTATTAACAATATTTTTATTAAATTAAATTTTCACCTTAATAATATGTACTTTCTTTTAATGTCGACTTTTTTTTTGTTTTTGAATTATCCAGGTGAAACCCGTCTTAATTACAATGACACTGGCATGACATGAGCTGTGCGGTCAACAAAGTCAACAAAGTAATAAATGTTTGTAAACCTAGGTATTAGGTAACCAATCAGTTGGCCGAAAGTTAAAATATACACACTTCAAATCTTTTTATCTGTTTCCTTTTAAAATTCATTTATTTATTTTAAAAAATGACATAACATTATTAATTATTATCATTACAATTATATTGTTATGTTTACTTAATTTTCTCTCGTTTATATATATATATATATATATAAATAAAAATATTGAGTGCGTTATTTAGTATGTGTATTATTATTTCAAGTAAATAAATAAATAAAAATAGATCAAATAGATCTCTCGTGAGTGTTAAACACAAAGCATCTTACTGTTGGGAATGGAAACTAACGCTAAAATTGATGTTTGGAAATACGAGTCCTAATGCGTTTTTTTTCTCTCTCTCTCTCTCTCAAATGTGGATATAGATGTAAAGGTAGTGCCCAATATGAAGCCCAGTGGATTTGAAGCTTCTTTATATACCCAACTAACCCACCATTGATCTTTTGACCAAAAATTACGACCCATGGACATTTCCAAATACTAGCCTTGCATAATTTTGGGTCTAATATGGTTTTGTCAACTATTGATTTTGCTCAAGAGAAATATAGTGAGGAGGACACAAAAGTAATAGTATTTAGACCGTTTAAAGTACATTTAACTTAAACGACTATTACAGTTGTGAACTTCAATTTAAAACACTCACTTATCCTGCTCAATCAGTCAATATTAACAACCCTAAAGAGGGAAACAATGGACATCTACCAAGTCAATCTTTTATATTTATCTATTTATGATATGACCGCCATGTTAATTTTTATTGTGCAAATTTTTAATGTATCACACTATTTATATTAGAATAAGATTGTTTCATGGTAAGAGTGGATTTGGATACACAACTTACTCAAATATTTATTTAATAAATAATTTTTAAACAATAATTTATATTATAAATTTTAGAAAATTAACTTGCAATTAAGAATCGTAACTTATAAATTATTTCTCATAATCACTTTGAAGACACTCTTCTACCAGTGACGATAATATCATAGAGTTACGAAACAGCAAAGAGTGGAGTTGTATTATTGAGTGAGGACGCACGTGCACAAGATGTTCCTGTATTACGTTGTACTGGTTACTGTGCTCCTTAATTGGGCATCAATCGCTGGACAAGAACGATGGAAAAGGTATCATTGAAAAGTGTTATTCGGCGGTCTTGTTTGGATGTTTCTTCAATTTTCAATTTAGTGCAAACCTTTATTGACACCCCTTTTTAATCAGTTCAGCTTTCTTGACCTTTTAGCATAAATAAACATGTAGGTTCTAGCAGTAACATACTATTGCAAAGGTCCAAGTGTGACCTCGATTATTGCTTTTTTCACGTTCCATTTCCTTTGATACATTTCGATTTGGATCCTTTAATAATAAAAGCCTTTCTTCCACACAAAGAAAAAGAGCTTCTAGATCTTTTTTCCCTTTCCTCTTTATGTTCCTAGCTTCCATGTTACTAGCAAGTTGAGCAAGTTAATAATTTCATACTCTTTCCTCAATAAATATTTATACGCAGAAGATGTCTTAATTATAATATAAACGGTTAATGTCTTTATTTTATCATAAACATGAAAAAGGACTTTGTACGAAGTGGAAAAAGAATGATGAAAAGGATTCGATATTACGTTTGCCACATGAAACGGTGATTTCATTTCTTATTTTATGTTATGAATGACTTTTTATATGTTTGTTGACAAAGAAGGGTGACGATTACATTAGACGAGCAACACGCTTTATAATTAGGAATTACCACTCCTTGCCAAAAGAGTGAGCTTGGATCAGATTTAAGAGAAAGGAAAAAATAAAATCAAACCTTAGTTTAATTTTGTTTTAAATAATCATTTTGCTTAACAGAATAAGAATGTATACAAATTTAGATTGGCTGAGAATTGGAATCAAGTTATTGAGTTGATTGTGTGTATGCATAATATAAATTTCGTGAATGTTTAATTTATTTCCTTCTTCTTCTGTAGAAATTAAGATTGATCACACCCTCTAAAATTTTGAATTGATAGAATAGGAAAAAAAACATAAAATGAGTTAATATTGTTTAGAATATCTAAAATAGAATAAATTTAATAAATTTATTTTATTTAAACATTTATATCTATTTTTATTTACCAAGAGGGATATTAAGATAAAAACTCTTTAAGATTTTTAATTTAATTATATAATTTCGTTCATATATTATATTAAGATTTTAATATAAGCCATATTTAATATTAAAAAGATAGAAGTGTTTTAATTTAAAATTGAAAAACTCACTTTTTTAAACGTTTTAAATAATTTTTAGCATAAAGCTCTTATATATAATTAAATTTATTGTTATAGGTTATCAAATAAGTCAAACGCAAAGTATTTAGTAGAGTTAAAAAAGATGTAATTGGAACAAAATTGAATGCAAGATCCCGATGTTTTATTTTTTAATAGACACATATTAGCAAAAAAAATAAATTTTAAAAATATATTAAAGAATTAAAACTTACAAATAATAAATTTTAAAATAATAATAAAATATTTTTAAAAAAATTTAAATTTTTTTCATATTTTTATAATTTTGTTATATATATATATATATATATATATATATATTCACATGGGTATGAACACATGTGAAATTACTGTTTTTCAGAGAAAATGACAGAATTAAAATCCAATTTGTAATAATAACGTGTGATGATGACCGTTAGGAATGACGTCTTGAATAGCGTCAGTCCAAAGACTAATACGGAAAAGAAGAGAATAACGATGAAACACAACACTATGTCAAATAAACGCCGTCAGTGTCACGTGGACTGCTACTTGTGTCATATCCAAACAAATCTGCGGGGTCTAATTTCTAGTCCACTGGAAGGAGACTTTTGCAATAAAGTATAATCTAACCAAATTTGTGTATAACAATTTTTACAGTTAAGAAATAGAAAAAAAATTAGAATTTTTACAAATGTCTTTGGAGTCCAGCTTAATAATAACTCAAATAACTGCCGTAGTAACCTAAGCTACGGTTAAAGTAAAATGACTAAAATAACAATTTCGATTTACAAATACTAAAACAATTTCAACACCTATTTAATTATTTTTCTTTATTTTTAATATTAACATCTTAGAATTAAGTTTCATTGTAACAATGCCAGAAGTTGCCAGCTTTCACTTTGCAAGGAAAAAGAGAAAAAAGCGTATAAATATTCGATCACATGGGCTAATATAGGAGTCTGCATGCTACGACCAAACGTACTAATGTACTATAAAACACACGGTCGCTAAAAAATGCTTGTGTTTCAGTAGTGTAATTTTCCTTTGAGTAACATAATCTAATATTATGAACAAAATAAAAGTTCATTTGACAAAGTTTTACCCTATTGTGAGTCACAAAGTAACTCTCAGAAACCGGTGCAACTTAAAAATATACGTATGTAGAGTGGATCATGCAATTATTACACTTAAAGTGAGATTCTTCCTTTTGCACCGCAATAAACACGAAACTAGGCCAATTAAAGTTCATTAATTAGGTTATTCTTGTAATTGACTCATCCGCACACATATTAAAAAATCGAAAATTTTCGTTCAGATATTGGCATTGCAATCATTGCAGATAAATTAATTTTTGTTGTAATGAGATTATTTTCTCTCTTCTAATCTTATTTTTCTAACCTACAAAATATTATACAAAATAAAAATTATAACATTAAATATTACTAAAGCATTAAATTATATTTAATTATGTGATTTGTAATAAAAATTTACTATATATAATTTTTTATTTTATACCATAAGAAATTATGCATGCTATATTTTTATAAACAAAATTATAACAATTAATACTATTAAAATATTAAATTATGTTAAATTATTCAATTATTAATAAAAAATTACTATATATAATTTATATCCTATACAATATTACACATGTAAAAAATAAAAAGAAAACTGGTTTATACTAAAAAAAATCAGAAAATTAGTTTTTTTCCAAAAAAGTGGAATTGTTTTTTTTTTTTGGAACTTGTGCATATTTAAAGAAACGCATCAAACTAATGATTTCGATTTTGTATAGTTTAATTGCAAGCATTACACCTGAAATATGTAAAAAAAAAAAAAAGTTGGCATTAAGCCATGGCATGAACATGATCATCACTCGCGCCCCTAAAATTCCAATTGCGCGTGGTTCTGTTATTTCCGTTTTTGTTCATTGGCCACCACTTAAGGTTTAGCCTCTCTCTCTCTCTCGCGTTCCTTTGTAGCCTTCGCTATATTTGATTCTTAAACATAGTTAATATATTTTTTCTATTATTTTTCTGGTCTAATCCCGACATCATCATTCCTCACAACCTTTGTAAAAGTTGTTCCATTATCGGTGAGCTTGGTGCGTGTATTAGGATCTGCCTCTGATTTAGATTGACATTAAGTTGTTGCTGTTGTTGTTGCTTACATGTGCCTTTCATGTTTCATTTCTTAATCCTTGCTGCTTCTAATATCTTTGTCTCTTCCTCCTGCAAAATATTTTTTTGCTTTTTCTCGGTTTCTCATATTACTTTTGCACACCTTATTATATTATATACACACATATATCTCCTGAATGTTCCTTACAGGGTCTAGTGCCAAGCTCATCATTCTTTCCTCAAAGCTTCCGTCAAAAATCACGTATTCATGGTGGTAGAAGGAGCCTTGCAAAAGGGTTGAGGTTCTTCCTTCAACCCCAGGTCAAATTCATCATCAAGCTTGTTCCTTTGGTTTTCTTTCACATACAATAATTGTTCTTTTTTTGTCTTTTTCCAATTTCTGCTTCCTGGGGTATGGGTTGCTTCTTTACAAGACTCTCTCTCTTTGAAGACAATAATAATGCAATTAAAAACATATCCAGGTGCAATGTTTTTAACCCGTTTTTTCTTATTTTGAGCAGACACAGGCAGAAGAGAAGTATCAATTTTTTCGGAAATCAGAAGAAATAAATAAATAAAATTATAATATATATTGATTTGGATGATCCTCCCCGTTGAGTTGCTGTGGATGAAAGAAGCTAGTGTTGATCTGGGATTTTGGTGAAAGGAAGAGAAGAAGGTTTAAACATAGTAATTGGCATCCAAAGAGGGTTATTTTGTAGGTTAGTGAATGCAAAATGGTGACACCATCTGTGCAGCCAGTAAACACCCCAAGGAAGAAAATGACGAAACAATTGACAGGAAAAAGGGATGATACCCCTCTGCATTCTGCAGCAAGAGGAGGGAATGTGGATGTGATGAAGGAAATCCTTGTGGGAACTGATGAGGCTCAATTGCATGAATTATTAGCAAAACAGAATCAAGATGGAGAAACAGCCCTTTATATTGCTGCTGAATATGGTTACATTGATGTGGTGAGGGAGATGATTCAATACTATGATCTTGCTGATGCTGGAATTAAAGCTAGAAATGGTTTTGATGCATTGCACATAGCTGCCAAACAAGGGGATTTAGGTATGCTTGTTTGCATAGTTTGTAGCTAGCATGTGGTTTTCAGAGGGAATCTCAGTTGCTTTTGCCTTGTTGCAGATATACTGAAGATACTTATGGAGGCTCATCCTGAATTGTCAATGACTGTGGATCCATCCAACACCACAGCTTTGCACACTGCTGCAACACAAGGGCACACTGAGATTGTGAAATTCCTATTGGAAGCAGGAAGTAGCCTTGCAACCATTGCTAGAAGTAATGGGAAAACGGCTCTTCATTCTGCTGCCAGAAATGGACATTTGGAGGTTGTGAACGCCCTTCTTGAGAAGGAACCTGGGGTTACAACAAGGACTGATAAGAAGGGTCAGACAGCACTTCACATGGCAGTGAAAGGACAGAATCTTGAGGTGGTGATGGCATTGATAAAAGTAAATCCTTCATCTATAAACATGGTTGATAATAAGGGAAACACTGCGTTGCATATAACAACCAGGAAGGGTAGGACTCAGGTAAATTAGACTGTGCTTGTCATAATTACGTTAAAATTTACTCACAAACTTAATGCATAATGTGTTCTTTTCTACGTTTGCCTCTCGGTCACTGAAAACTATTTATCCTCAGTTTGATAGTATTCTCTAGTTCCGGAAACAAGCATCTTGAGTTACACACTTAGACCTGTGTGCTTGTTTGTGACATCAAAAGAGAAGTGAAAAGAATCTAGGTTTGGCTCACATTTGGATTGAATTCTGATTTATTATTTGCTTTCTCACATTTGAAGGTTTGCTTCATACAAATAAACTGCTAGCATAAGAGAAAGTTGTAAAGGCTAACAAAATCATTAATAAATTTGTTTGTGCAGATTGTGAAGTTGCTTTTAGGACAGAAGGAAACGGATACAAAAGCTGTGAATAGATGTGGTGAAACTGCAGTAGACACTGCTGAGAAAACGGGGAACCATGATGTGAAAGCCATTCTGCTGCAACATGGTGTTCAGAGTGCCAAGATCATAAAACCACAAGGCACAACAACAGCTACAGCACGTGAGTTGAAACAAACTGTAAGTGATATAAAGCATGAGGTTCATCACCAGTTGGAGCACACTCGCCAAACTAGAAAACGTGTTCAAGGAATTGCCAAACGTATCAACAAAATGCATTCTGAAGGCCTCAACAATGCAATAAACTCCACAACTGTGGTGGCAGTCCTAATTGCCACTGTTGCCTTTGCCGCTATTTTCACTGTCCCTGGTCAATTTGTTGATGACCCAAACAATATTCCTCCAGGGATGTCCCTTGGTGAAGCAAATATAGCCCCACAAGCTCCATTCATCATTTTCTTTGTCTTCGATTCCATTGCCCTCTTCATTTCTTTAGCAGTTGTGGTAGTGCAAACCTCGGTTGTGGTTATAGAAAGCAAAGCAAAGAAGCAGATGATGGCCATAATAAACAAGCTAATGTGGCTAGCTTGTGTTCTTATTTCTGTGGCCTTCTTGGCATTGTCATTTGTAGTGGTGGGAAAGGAGGAGAAGTGGCTGGCCATTGGAGTGACTATTATAGGGACAACCATAATGGTCACAACCTTGGGCACTATGTGTTACTGGGTTGTTAGGCATCGCATTGAGGCCTCAAATTTGAGGAACATTCGGAAATCTTCATTGGCAAGCAGGTCAAAGTCTTTTTCAGTGTCGGCCTTTTCAGATTCTGAGCTACTAAACAATGAAAGAATGTATGCTATTTAAGTGACTAACCTGTTCAGGATTCCCTCTTGCTTTTTTGCAATTTAAAGCACTAGGCCAGATAGAACTATATCCAACTAGAGTGAAACTTCCAATTGTATATATATCTCAAGAAATGGTTAATGTTTATACTTTGCTTAACAAATCAAAATAGTAAACAGTTGTCTCCTTCCGCAAAAATAGATAAATAAATCAGTAAGCGTTTACAAAGAAGTGTTTCTCCAATTGACCTTGCTGAGACTACTTGATTTGTACCGTGTTGAGGTTGAGGAGTAGGTTCAGCCCATAATAACCGATCGTCCTGCTACGACGAGTTTGTCGCTCTTATGGAACTTTTTACAGTTACAGTAATTACTGCAACATTTGTTAAACCATGTATTATTTAGATGTTGGATGCTGTTACTGTGGATAGTCTAGCTAAAATAAACAACCAAATGAAACTATAAATACAGTTCCGTTAAGTTGTTAATCAGCATTTAATACATAATTTCACTACTCACTACTATTCTTAAAGAGGGCAGCGGTGGGTTTCCCGTATGCTTCATCACAATAATCATCCGAGTCGTCGCTTTCTTATGAAGATATAGCCTTTGTTACAGTCACATGGGCATCAAGGAAACCGCATAATGTTAACCACTAATCTACAAATCGCATTCATGCCCCTGGAATGGTTTGCAATATATTAATGAACTAATGGACTCATGCCCGTTCAGCTATTTTTAACGAGAACCGAATCAGGAAAAATAAAAAAGTCGTCAGACATGATGTTTACCTACTAAAGATGTAGTTGTTTCATGAATTAACCATTCAGCTCATTACTACTAAGGTGGTCACATAAAATGTCTACAGCTATCGTGTTGTGTATAGAACTGATTTAGATGATAAGCTAAATATGCATGACTATATCAATGGCATGTGCTGCTGCAGATTCATGACTTCCAGGGTCGTCTTCTGGCACTTAACTGTTTCTTTAATTTGTTTCTGAATTTTGTTGGTGCTAGTGTTATCATTTACTTACATAAGAAACTAACCCATTTTCTTTCCATATTTGCAGGCCACATTCCTCCTGAACAGATTAAGATAATATTTAATGAAAATTACAGGATGACAAATGAAACTCACTTAATAAGGAATAAAACCCATATAATTTCATAAGTTTGAATAAACTTAAGCAATAGTAAAGTGCATTTGAATCAGCGTGCATTTAATTTTAAGAGACAAAAGTGAAGTTTGTTAACCATTAATATGAAACTTTTGAGTAAATGTTAACAAATTTATTGTTATGTACAGGGAAAATCAACTTTCTCATCAATGGCTGCTGATTTTTTTATTATTTATTTTTAAAAAAAACCTCTTTCCTCTCTAAAATGAGCTCACGTTCAAGAGCACATACTAGACACTGCGTCGAATCTATTCTGTGCGCATTGGGCAGACATCCATATCCGCCACTGCCAGACAACCAGGTTATCCTAACGTCTGTTATTTTAACCACACATTATTATGGCTGAGAAAAAAAAAGGGATAACAGCTCTCAAAGCATCAAGATTTAAGAGGATGTAAAAGAAACGCCAAATTGAAGGAACACTGATGATGCAAAATGACTTGCGTCCTAACAAATTAAATCCATAAATAAAAACTTCACATATCAGGTTTTCTTTCCCAGTCAATGTTGAGGCAAAGGCGGTCTCTTTTCCACCATTTCATAATGAAGAACTAAATTATCCTGCAAGAAGGTTGTCCATTAGGCCCAAATAGGACAATTATATTGGAAAGAAAAAAGAGAATGATAATATATAACTTGGGGGGTGCGTGTGCATGTATATGTTCACAAAAACAAACCTTAAGGACTATTTCGAAAGCGATTGGGTCAAAACAGTGGTAAGATCCTCGTTCGTATGTGTTTGTTTTGACAAGTGGCTCCAGGTTGGGAACTCTCATAAACCAAAAACGATGCTCTTTATGATAAAACCAGCCTCGTTTGTAACTGACAGCAACAACCCTGCCTTGTTAATAACCATTGCTTTGATAAAACAACAAGAATATTAAGAGAATAGCAATTTATAAACTCCTGGCAAAATATTCTAATTCAAGATTAATCCCGTGGATGCATGGATAGCAATTTTCAAAGAGTGGTTAATGTTTTATAACTTAAATAAACCACACTCGTACAATTAATTATTCCCAAATTGAAATTTTTGTTGCCAAGAATCCCTGACATATAATAATCCTAAAATAATTCAGAAATAAGTCTAAATAATCCAAAAAACAACAGAAAACAAAAAGGGTGCATGTGAGCGAATGCGTACAGTTCATTTGCTGCATATAGTTGTGCTTCATCTTTGGGCATGCTGCAATAAAAGATCAATTTTACTTAATTGTAATACCAAACAACTCAATGTTAAAGTGAATAAAGATCAGTTTTCAAAGAGCACCTGTAAAATATGTAAAACAACGTTTCCACCGTAAACTTCGAAAAATAACCTTGCTGCATAACAGAGAGACTCAGGCTCAATTAACAAAAATAAGGGCAATGAAGTTATAAAGCACAATAAAGAACATCTCACATGTAGAGCAGGAGGCTGTTTGGCATAATAACATTGTAGCACACTGAACTCTGGATCACCCTTGGCTGGTTCATCAGACCATGGAGACCCAAAAGTTTTGTGAAGATTTTCCGATGAATTCAAATTTAACCCAAGTGTTGTAAGATCAATTCCAAGAGCAAGAGATGTCAGATCAGGATCACTCATCCTGATGACACTTAACAAGCCAAGTAAACCAAATGGATCCGGACTAGATTGTGCAGTTTGCATAGACTTCATGCTCGGATCCCTAAAAGACTGATTTACAGCTGACATTTGCTGAAGGCGGAACTGGGACTGATTCTGGTGTTGTTGATATTGCTGGATAAGCTGGTCATATGAACCCATACCAGAAACCGCATTTGGAGAATTTAGAGGCCTTAGTCCAATGCCAGGAGGTCCACTGGTCTAAACCAAAAACAAGAGTCATAAGAATCTCAGGAACTTGCTTTGGCGGGAGTAAACAATGTCAGTTCAAATGGGCATACCCATTTCAGTGTTCCAGTGCAAGTTAAAAATAAAGAGTTGGATTCCATATAAAAACAATTGCCTTGGTTACAGAATTAGAAAACTCACAGACCTGAGCATGATATGTTGAGTGTGAAGATGGAAAAATATCTGTTCCATGCAGATGGAGAAGATCTTGATTGTTTACGGATGAAAAGGAGACACCATTGCCACTGACAGAAGGGGCATGCTGCTGTTGCTGTTGTGTACGATGTGAAGGATATGATCCCCCTAAACTGAAACCAGCAGACCTACCCATCTGCATATTGAAGGCAAACAAGATTGACAACAAATTTTGAGAATTTATACTATCATAAACATGAATATGTATATCAGAAAACATATCTTATATTTTTATTCTTTTGCAACATGAAACTCACAGAGAAATGTTGAGATTGCATCATTGACACAGTACTGTCGTGAAGTTGTTCTTTCTGGTGCATATCCATAGCAAAATCTGCATTACCACCTGCATACAAATACTACGGTAAAAAACAAATGCTAAAGTCAACTTACTAACCTCAACTCAATTAGAGTTCTCAGTTCTACGAACAAAGTTGACCAAAAATCATTAGAATGTCATCACATACAGACAACTACTCAGATGTGATTCACAGCAAGCCATCAAAGACTTCTCAGTGCAAACTTGAAATATCTTTAATTCCTTTACAACAGCAATAGAAACCAGTAAAGCATTCTCACTAAATGTATGACACAGGTCACACAGATATATACAAAACATAAAGCAAGGATCCGTTGTAGCTATCAAAACCAATCAGAAGAACGAGGACAAAACAATGATGCACACATCACAATTTTAATAAGCACATGCAAAAACCTAATGACGTTAAGCACAGAAAGCAAACATAAAGAAGTCCTTCCAGTTCCACAAGAAAAGGCATAAATTTCATTTACATTCTTTAATCTCCAAAACAGGAAAATAATATAATTGAGCTGCCAAATTTCCCCCAAGAGATGCATAACCAATTAGCTCACATATATTAACCAAACAATATACAACACCTTTGAATCCAGGTAAAGCTGGGAAATCTTCATTTTGAATGCTAAATTCTTGGTTTTGTTGGACAATGGGACTAACTCCAAGACCCTGTTTTCGTAAAGAACCTGAAATTTATAGTTTACATTATTCTTTGTTGAAGAAGGTGAACAATGTATCAAGCAAAAAAACATTTTCCTTCACACACCCAACTGTCCTTGAGGCCCACCAGCAGAACTAGGACGGCTTGTCAGTTGAGGGAAATCATTGATGTCAAAAGGTGAACTGTCACTGGAATTCACATCATTCAACATCCCCAAAGAGTTCAAATTGTTTACTGTTTGAACATGGCTTTGTGAAAGCTGACCTCCTGCACTGGGATAGGGATTTCCTAGCATTGAAATTACCTGTGGAGATCCTGCATAAAAAATTTGTTGTCACCACAAAGTAGCATATTTAATCTATATATCAAATAAACTCAATATTAAAGGGAATTAAATACTTAGCACAATTAAACATTTTATATAAATCTAAAATAAAGCACTTCTTTAACAGGCATTTCAAGTACATTTTGCTACTTTAGTGACAGATCAATATATAATATTCAAACATCACAGCAAGAAATAAATTTTATATCATTTGGCAGAACAAAGGAAATAGTATAGCGACATAAAAGAGACAACAATTTCAAAGCAGGTATAGTGGTAGACTGACAAGCAACAGCGAATGCAAACAGAAAGATGATCACAATCTAGACCTATATTATCAAGAGTTGAAAAGTGAAATCAATTGCATATTTGTTTCTCTTGAGAGGACAATAGTCCACCAGCACTGTCAATGGATGCACCATGTAGAACTCAGAAGGGCATGGCATTCAGAGATCCCATTGAAAAACACCCATGGAATGACATCTTCAGGATAGTGGCATTATGACACCTGCCATGTGCAGGACAATGAAAATGCCAACTATGGCACATGCCCTTATTAATGCTCTCCGTTTCTTCTGAAATTCTGGGTGATTTTTGTTCAGAGACCACTTTATTTCATAATGGCCACTGTAATCCACCTTCACATCAGGGCAGTTTTGGGGCCCGCCTCCATACACCAACAATAACACTGTAGTCCAGACTCAATAATATAGGAAGAAATAAAAATTCAACAACTATTATAAGGGTTTTAAATTTTGAATAATGATAATTTATGGAAAGGTTTGTCCAATGATCACAGCTGAAAGAAACAATATTATGTTGACCAGTAAATGTTGCAAGTGACTAATTTCAAGGCACTCAAACCAAAGTAGTCAATCTCAGATAGCAACGCAAACCAGCCAACTTCAAAAACGCTATAGTAGAGATAACGGTAGCAGGATGACAGCTATTCTGAAGTTCAAATACACACATATAAATGCTGAAAAATATAAATTAATGCACAAATTTGGAACAAAACAAAAAAGGAAAACTCTAATCAAAGAAGGAAATAAATAACAAACAGTGAAGGGTGCAAGAGCAGCCATTGCTTCTACTTGAAACTTTGAAATTTGAAACATAATAGAATAGGAGAATCAAAACAAAGAAGGAAATAAAAACACAGAGAAGAAAAATAAAAAAATATTCAATCACAGCAAAATGTGTAGGTTCGCCAAAGATGTAGAAGATGACTAAAAAGTATCTAAGTGACGTCGGAAGATTCGCTGAACTTGAAAATGACCAAAGATGAAAAAAATGACTCAAAACAATCTAGGTCACATTGGAGACTTCACCAAAGACGACGAAGATGACCAGAGAACGTCCCTGACGCATTAGAAGCCTCGTCAGAAATGAAGGCCACCAAAAGCAGTGGAAACGTAAAGATCAGACATGAAATGAGAGGGAGAGCTAAGAAATGAAATGAGAAGCTAGGGCTCGCAAAACAGGTAGGGAGAACATTAGAAAATAAAGGAGGGAAAATCTCAAGATTGTCCCTATTAAGATGTCCCACATTGATTAGAAATAGAGTCAATATACCCCTTATAACTTATAAAGGCTAAGGTAATCCTCTTCTTGTGAATTAGCTTTTGGGAATGAATTAGGCCCAAGTTTCTTATCATGGTATTAGAATCTATCCTGTTTAAATGTTGGGCTACTCATAGATATCCAATTTTGTTGGGTTCCACTCGTGCAATGTAAAGTCCTGCAGATTTCACGCACCAGGTGTCCAATTTTGAGCGTTACGGAAGTGTGTTAAGATATCCCACATTAGTTAAGAGTAGAACTAATATACTCCTTATAAAGGCTAAGGTAATCCTCCTCCTATGAGCTAGCTTTTGAAAGTGAATTAGACCTAAGTTTCTTAACAGCCCCCCTTAAAAGTCGCCCAATGTTTAAAAAACAAAGAGGAGGTTCAGAATTTCAAAAAGGATAGAATAAGGGCCTTGACAGCCACTCCTCTAAACCGCAACGCTATTGAGTCTCCATAGCAACGCTACTAACTACTATGACTCAAGCAACTTGTCATCCAATGCTTTTAAAGAAGATAACATAGAAAGATGCATCCAAGATAATCAATTTAGTAAAATATGAAAAGTTCTTCCTTAGAAAGGAAGGTAGTAATAGATTTCCCTGCATATAGAAAATTTACAGGTAAAAGAAAAATGAAAATTTTAAATCACTTTAATGTCAAAACTCAACCTTTTTGGAAAAAATCTCAACTAAACACAACATAACCCTTGCATAATCAGATATTTCTTAGGGGAAAAGATTATTGACACACTGCTTCAATGCACTAGTGATTACCAAAACACATACCTTGCGGAAGCACACCACTCATCAAACGATTCTGTCCTTGTATACCTAAACCAACAGATCCAGCATTTCCACTTAAATTTAGACGAGAAGCAAGACCTGGAATGGACAATCCTCCAGAGCTTATCCTTCCAATGTTCCCTGCACCAACCATATTTCCCATAGAGCTTGTGATTCGAGGACCTGCACTTCCCAAAATTGGGGATACTCCCAATCCTGGAACAGCATTTCTGTTACCAATTGCAGCAGAAGTTGGAAGAATCCCAGGAATAGAACCAGCAACTCCATTTGTGCTACTACTAAATCCAGGATTTCCTACAACACTTATACCTCCTCTACTGTTGATTCCTGAATGTCCATGGGAGCTTCCATGAGATAACTGCAAATATGATAGACAAAATATTTCAAGTTATAGAATAGTAAAAACAAAATGAAAGACAACAGAGTTAAATATGCTCAAGATATTCAAATGCATTCACCTGTGACAGAGCAACAGGTAGATTATTTGATGCAAATCTTCCACTAGAAAGGCTTGATGTAGGTTGTTGAACTCCCCCAGTTGGAATGCTATTTATTGTTGAGTTTCTCGATGTAAGTGTACTGGGCATGTTGGGTACATTAAAGGTCCCATGAATGTTGTGCAATCCTTGAATAGAACCTGCAGCAAGTACCTAGAAATTATACAACTAAAGGAGGGGCAAAACGGATTGACTCTAGCAAAATTTGCCCACCAGAGTGATGAAAAACGGGGGAGGCTACACCAGACTGACCAGAGAATGACGTGGCAAAAGACCGCCCAGCACCATCTGGAAGATTTGAAGCAGACCCGTTCAGAGAAGACTGCAAACAGAACTCTGTTACAATTTAGTTCCATGGTAGATATGTGCCAGACGATAAAATCAATATCTTACAAGAAACAACAACAATATGAAAAGTTACAAAAAAATTTGTTCATTCTATTTGATGTATTCAACATGCCTAAGGCATGAAATATTGAAGAGACAGGAATTTAGTTCTTAATTGGTTTTCAAGGCAATCAATCATATGCTAACTAACCATACATAAAAAAGCAACTGCCACTAAATTGCAAGCATAAAATAGTTTCACTCATCATACAAAGTCTAAGCAAATATAATGATTCTATTAAAGTGCCAATGAATAGCAAGCATTAAATGGTTTGCGCCCCTCAAGTTGATTGGCAATCACCCCACACACATTGACTCTTCCTTCCACTTGGACGCTCTGGTTGCAGAAAAGAGAAACACATTTAAAGATTATCATGTGATGCAGTTATTTTTATGTTATTCTGAGAAATTTTAGAATTTCGTCTTATGGAGGAAATCTTTCATTACTTATATTTAATATGTTCTTAGTAAAACATTAGCATGTTAAGATTTCCTATTTTGATTCAATTACGAGTTCATAATTTAGGAATTTAATATTTGATCAGTATTCCTTTTGCATAATTGTAGGACTGACATTTCCTTTTCCTCATAGAGCATCTGAAATCCTAGTCAGAGTCTACCCAAGAGTACTCTAGGTGTATTGTTCTACATCACTCCAGTTCTGCTCTCACTAAATACTCTTAAATTTGAATAGGTGCCACTTTCCTCCTCATATATATCTTAAATATTGAAATTCTGATTTATCAAAATGTTTGTTAAACATTCTGATGACCAGAAAAATTGTAATATACACATCAACATGAAACACTATAAACCGGGTACATTTTTGTTTAACGGCGTATTTCAGCCAAAGATGCTCTGTAATCCACTATAGAATTCAAAGCACACCACTATGCATGGAATGTAAACATCATGTTCCAAAGACCAATGACCAGAAATGAAGAGGAGATTAAACTTGCATAATTGCATTTAATGAAAATATACAAGCTGGAACTTCAAAGTAAAAATCGATCAATCAAGGAAAGAGTCATACTCATACATATCCCAGCATATAAGCCATTTACTTTAATATAGTAATTGAAAAAAAGTATTCAATGACAGAAAATTGAAATTCTCAATTATAACAATTTGGTAGCCATGATAGCACAAACTGAGTAAAGGGCCAAATAAAATATTTAACATAGTCTCTTGCTTTGCAGGACTTAAGGGAATACATTAAGTAAGCCCGACATTGCATGAATTTCAAAACGTCGTGCCAAAAGTCATTCCTGCGCTAAAAAACAGCCCTCCCTTGTATTCAGTGCCAACAGAAGTGTGAACAATCTGAAGAGCCTGTCCTGACAACCAATCAACAACCTGAATAAAATAAATTCAGTTATAAACAACTAAGCATCCAAGTCTATAATAAAGTAAGCATTATAGTTCAAGCTCAGTAAATTTCATTGTTTCACTTAGCCGTATCCCCAAGGTTATCAAAGATAAAAACATGTCTTATTGATTTTTCATTGGATAAAAGATGAAAGAACATAGCATGACCATTTTAGCTGGTCGAAGGATATGCACACTTTAGAAGCAACATTTTAAATCAATTAGCAATTTTCAAATGCTCAACAATAAAAAAATAAGCACGAAGAATAAAACATAGTTGAACAGATTGCGCACAACTGATGGATGGCATCACCATACATCAATAGCAATGAAATATAAACACTCCAAGGGTTTAAACAATCGCAACGTTAATGAAAACGAGATTCACCAGATTGTTATGCATAGTCCTCCGGTTATTTACCACTGATCCAAACATTTGAACATAAATTAATCAACCATCAAATTTTACACTCCTCGTTTCATTCATAATTTAAAGTGAAAATAAATAAACCACACTAAAATTCAAGTGCGGAACCACAAAATCGAGTGCCTCCAAGAAACCTAATAGCCAGCGCTATAAAATTATGTCAGTGCATAAAAGCTTAACCAGTGTAACGGAAGGAGAATCGGAAACAAGGAAACGATGAAGTGAATTGGATTAACAAGCGCCAAGAGAAAGAAAAAAAAACACAGGAGGGAGAGAGAGTACCTGAAGAACAGAGATCAGCGATAAGGTTCTGAGTCAAAGACCGAGTTGGAGTGCCCTAAATCGGAACTTGAAAGCGATAGAAAGAGAGAGAAAGTGGTGAGTATAAAAGCTTCCCTCTAGTTGGGTTGGGTTAGGACGATAAAGCATAATAATTATGTAGTAAAGTTTGGATGCGGCGGGGCCTAACAGCGATTTCAGATTCGCTATTTCTATGTTTTTTCAGATTCGCTATTTTGGACCTTGTACGTATAAAGCTTTTCAGTTGAGACATAACTTTACAAAATTAATTGAAAGCGGAAGAAAATGCTTTCCCTTTGGATTAAAAATAATGACAGGTTATGAGTTTATGATTAAGTGCTATGTGTTTTTGAAAATTTTAATATTTAAAATCTGCAAAAGAAATTGTTAGATGCACCATTTTTATGGAGTATTTAGCAAAACGAATTTAATTTTTATCCGAAAAGATAAACGACATGTTAATGTGATAACACAGTCCCGTGTAAAGAATTTAGATTTGCAATAATGTTTTGCATTGCGAATGACTTTACAGATACTCTAATGCATATTTATAATTACTTTAAATAATAAGTAATGGCGAGTTAACAACGGTTGATTTTATTTTATTTTTCGATACAACAACAAAGGTCGATTTAGTTGATAAGAATCTAATTGAAGAGTGATGAATAAGCGTATTTAACAGTAAGTATTTAATAAAAAATGACAAATATTCAATATTTTTAAGTAATAAAAAACATTAAATGTTTATTCTATATATTTTAAAAATACTTGTCATTGTTCTTATAAATTACCAGAGCAATCTATTTTGGCCAAAGCTGACAGTTAAGTGTTATATGAATAATAATTTAATTTAAATGTATTAGTAATTAGTAATATATTAAACAATTCGTGGTATTATTTAATCACGTATAATTATATAATTTAATGTGCTATACGTACTATCAAATTTATTAAATAATAGTACGTTAAACTAAAAAAAACGAAATATTGTCATTTTGGTCCTCAAAATATTGGAAAATGGCTCTGGAAAATAGTTCCAGCCCCGTTGATTTGGAAAGTCACCGTATGCGTTATTGAGAGATCACTCCCGCGTTTATTCACTGCAAGACTGATTTTTTTTCTTAAACGTATATTTAGATTCGTACGTTTTTTGGAATACAAATATAAAATAATATTTTAAAAAATATCATAAATAGTACACAATTTTATTATTTTAAAATAGAAAATTAGCTTCACTTTTTAAACTTCCTTAAGAAACAACCATCGTGCATTGTAGATTACTCCCTGTTGAATATGTAACCTAGTTTAGGTCAGAGTAAAAAAAAGGTAGGACAAACTTCTGTTGAATAATAATAATTATATATTTTAATGTATTAGACGAGTATTTTTATATATAATATAGATTTGAATAACGATATAAGAAACAAAATATTATTATTGAACCAGTCTTAACACTCAAGATTAAAAAAAAAACTGCAAAAGATATTTAAAAATCATGTTAAAAGAGTGATAAAAATATAATAAAAGTGTCTTAAATGTATTTTTATTTTATTTTTATATTTCAATCAGTATCTTCAATATTTGTCTTTATTTTAATAATTATTTTAACGTGTTTAAAATATATGCAATGAAAATTAATTTATAATGATTTTTTAATACAAGAACCAGTCTTAAGACTCGATATTTAAAAAAAACTGCAAATAAAAATCATGTTAAAAGAGTGATAAAAATATAATAAAAGTGCATTAATAATATTTATTTTTTTATATTTTAATCAGTAACTTCGATATTTATCTTTATTTTAATAATTAAAGTGTCTACGGATATGCAATAAATTTTAATTTATAATAATTGTTTAATAAAAGCACACAGAATGTTATATCAATAACAGTAAATATTATAATTTAAAAAATTTATTTTTATACGACCTTTAATCCATATTAAAATAAATTTTAACATAGTATGAAACACATTTATCGGTCAATTTTTTAAAATTGAAAAATCCATTGCCTTATCATTACATCATTATCCATATGGGAAGAAAGAACAATGCGATTAGGTCCAAAACAGTCTACATCAAATACACACGGAAACGCACTCCTATAAATAATAAATCATTTTAAATTCCGTTTGTCATACATTTGTTTATATTTTTAAAACTATATATATATATATATATATAATATTTACATTTAAATAATAATATGATAATGACAAAATGGTCCTAGTTGACTACGAAATGCAAGTGGTTTTCACGTTCTGCATTCTTACAGAGCAAATGGGAATGTCCTACATGGACATGGAAGTTTCTGATGTCGGTGGTCTATGGTCATTCTATTCTGCTCCCACGATCCCACTTGGTAATGGTGAGTACTTGCCCTTTATTCTTTCCAAGTTTCACACTTCATGTTGTTTTTAGATTTTTCAAATGTAGATGTATTATACAAAAAAAAAAATGATAAAATATAAAAACAAGCGCAAATGTTTAAACACGCTGCTCAGATTAATATATATATAAAAAAATGTTCAGATAATTAAATTGAAGGAAACAACACTACAACAAAATATTTATAAAAATTCCTGTTATATAATGTTTTTGTAAACTTATTTATAACAAAATTATAAAATAAAATAAACAATGTAATAACAAGAGACGAAAATATATACATAAAAAATGTTGTAAGAAACTGTGTTAAAAATATTTCAATGCATATTAAAGTATAACTCCTTGGACACATGACCTTTTTTTTGGTATTTTCAGTTAGTAAGGCTTAATGATTTAAATTTTAAATTTCAATCTTACTTATCCTCTTTTAAGGTGTTTGAGTAAACAAAAATATTTAATACTTGAAATATAAAAAATTAGCATGAAACAACCATATAAATATATGTATACAAGTTAAACAAACTTTTTGTAGGTCAAATTACCCTGTCTCCTTATAATAATATTTTCACATAATTATAAAATATTTTATAATAAAGATCAACAATACTTCCTGAGATAAATCATATAAAAGAACCCATAAAATAATATTATTATTGTCATTCTGTCAACTCCATGTGCAATGAAATAAATTTTGTACAAAATTTCATTATAAAATATTCAAATAGCAGTAATATTTTTTTTATCAATCAAAGTTACTTCATCCCACCTTATCTAGTGTACGTGTAGTTTAAGACTGAATAAAATTAATTTGGAATCATCAGATATAATTAAAATATATGCATAATTAATTTAAATTATATTTTTATTAAAATTTAAACAAGTCTTCATTTATCATTTAGATTTTTAAATGTAACTAGACTCATTACTTGATTCTGAAAATGTACTTAGAATAAATTTTAGTAAAGAATGTTTGATTACCTTTATCAAAAGGATAGAATTAAAAAAACGGGAGCAATATGATGAAATAATTGTTTATATTATTAATACAATGAATTATTTTTCTAACAATTCTTTTTAATCTTATGCACTTAAAGCATAGTAAGATTATTTCTTAAATTTTGTTAAGTATAGTTGATTAAAAAAAGAAAAAAACAATTACTAAAAATAATAAATATTAGGTTTGAGACCATAAACGTTATTTCATATTCCTACATTTTTACATCTCAAATTGGCCGTATATGTTAACAATTTTTAATAATTATTTCTAAAAAGAAAAATCTGAATACACGTTTGTATTTTCTGATTCTATTTGTTTTGCCCTAAATTAGCGGCACGAATAACGGAAGGTGCAATGGGACCCGACCCAATACGGCACGAAGTTGCAGCAACATATTTTTTAAATATAGTTTTAATTACTAATTTATTAAAAATTATAAATATATGAAAAATAATTAAATTAAATATATAAAATTATTTAAATATAAAACTCACAATTTAATTAATAAAAAATATGTTTAAAATTGTGTTACTGAACATTTTGTTTTTGTACGACGCACCCTGGTTTCACCCTTCGTGGCCAGAGGGTTTTGAAAAACGAAAACAATATTTTAAAGAACAAAGGAAGGGATAAGGGTCATCAGAGGGGGGTCCATATACGCTTGCCAGGTGCCAACCAGCGAGCCATACAGTTTGCAGGCCCATGCCAAAAACAATAAAAACTATAAACAATAATTATATCATCAATTTTTCTAATTTTTTAAAATATATTTTTGGCATCAATTCAAGTTTATTAAAATTATAAAAATTGTTTTTTTCTAGTTTCATAAATTTTATTTACAATTTTTAATAAATTACAACCCTAATTAAAAATAAATTTCGGACAATCTTTTTAAGTTAAATACATATATCACCTTCCCCACACGTTACCTATTATCTCCTCTATCATGCTCACCCTCCAAACTGATCGTAAAGTGAATAAATGATAATATACTTTATGTTAAATTAATTAAAAGTCTGTTATAATTTCAATTATGAAAATTTAAAATTAAATATATGTTATTTTCTACTATTAGAGATAATTTACTAATGGAAAAGGTTTCTTGCTTCTTGAGTTAAATATCAAATTTTCGATTTAATAAATTTTTAATTATAATTTGTTTAAATATAAAATTTGCTCGTGTATTTTTATTACGTATGAAAATAAAATCCCCATGTTCTTTCGGTGATTCACTTTGGGAAAAAAAAAAGTATTCAACGTTGATGTGTAAATAATAAGAAAGTGACTAGAGATATTTACATATTAGCATCGTCATTTTCCCTTTTTGTCAGTTGAAATAAATTTAAAACATATTTAAACGCGTGCTTTTTATTTTTTCTCAAAACAATTATTTATAGAGACGGATTAAAAAATTAAGATAAAAAATTAGTAAATTTTTAAATAAAGATGGTTTTGAAAAATTAAATTGTTTTTTATATAAATTCAAGACTATTAATTAATTGTAACAATGTTTTAATATTTATGAATTTGTTATAATTAGTTTGTAACAAAGTACGGAAAGAATAAAACCAAGCGTTATCGCTTCAATCAGAAGTCTAAAATAAAAAATCAATGTTAAATCATTAGTATTTATTTTTCAATTTCACTGTAACTATTTTAGTAATAAACAAAAGATGAGATGGAATTTACTTCGCTCCGTGGACTGCAGTGTAAATGTTTTAACAAATCGGCAATGTCTGGTAATAACCTTCAAACTTGACATGGAGTAAGAATTTATTGTATTTCTCCACAAAGAAAGAGGGCACATTCACTAATTACTTCCTGGCCTTGGATAATAAGAAATAAAAATAAAAAATATTAATTGAATGAGTAGAACTATTTTTTTTAAATGAGTGAAAAAAAAGTAAACAAACAAATTGTAAAAAAATTATTTTCTATGATAATAATATATAAATAAATTTAATAAAAAATAAGACTTTTATGTAACATTTTTTAATATTTAAAATTTATAATATGTTGATATTATTTTAAAAATTATCTAACACTAAAAAAATTTAATGAAAGTCCCTTTTTACTTTTTCAGTATTCATTTCACGGGTATAGGAAAGTGATTTTTTTTAGACTCACTCTTCTATTTTTTCTCTCTCACTAAAATACAAAAAAAATCTAAACGAATTAAAACTTTACTTTATGCAAAATCAGTTCCCTCAACTTTTTTTTCCTTATAAAATTACTTCATCCACACAAACTCCCAAGGGGGGTATTGTAAATTAATCTTACTAACTTTTTTGAAAATTTGTCTTTGATGGTGTCTGACAAACTTCAATTTTACGTGACTAAGATTACACTTTGATTAGATTTAGATTTCATATGTCCATTTCCTGGGATTTGGCAAGGTTAGCAAGACTATCTTGCTTGATTACTTTCACATGACCTTCCCACCTGTTATCTGGTTCATCCATGCTCATAGGTAAACGTCAATTTTTTTAATACAATAATAAAGTTCAAACTACCTTTTAAAAAAACCATATGATTAAACAAATTCAACGGCCTTTTCTTATTCCTCGTCGGTTCCTCACCTTACTAAAAAATTATTATAATTGTAATAATAATGTGATAAATGTAGTCAATTTCATCTGCCAAATATGATTTAATTTATGTTGTAATAGTGATATTATTTTCATCAACTCTTAAGATTTTTTAAATATTAAAAATATTAAAAAACATTCATAACATTTTTAATATAACAACAAATACTTTAATTGTTTAAAATTAGTCTTTATTAACACTTTCCTTATAATAATTATAATTATAGCCAAAAATCTTTCTTTTTCTGTTTTTTGCTCTCGAACAAGTTACCTAAACACACTCACCTCACCTATCTCAAATTGTTTAATCTCTACTTGCATCACATGCTCTCATCGAAAAGTCTTGCAACCAACCCTTTTGAGTTTTGATCCTGTTCCCACCGTTAATGTCCTTTCTCCCTCTCTCTATTTTATTTTCTAACTTGGAAAAAAAAATTATGAATATGTCAATAGCTAAGGTTGTCATCAAGATTATTCCAGCTTGTGCTGAGCTAGATTCTTGCTGAACATGGGTTTGTTCTTCTCTTGCCAGTATTTTTATTAACTTTTTCTTTGAAAACAACAAAAGGGTCACTTTAGATTTCTCTTATGCTCTCTGTAGTGTCTTGGTTCAAACTGGTCCTGTTGGAGCTGTAAGAGTAATAATAAAGGTTCAATCTTCTGTCCTTGTTCTCCCTCTACTTCTGTGTGCTTGACTTGTGTGGTTTTGTGCTTGATAAGTAGAAGCTCACTACTTTCTTTTCCTGTTTGTACCAGAGATCTTCATAAGATTCGACTAGCTTCAGAAAGAGAAAAATTTGAAAGAGAAAAAAATCATTCCCAGTGGTGTTCATTTTATTTCTAGATGCCATAATGATTGATTGGAGTAAATTTAGCTTCTTTATCTGTGCTTTATCTATCTTGCCCTTGGTATGCTTCTGTGCCACCTTTGTTCCGGTAGATAATTATCTTATAGATTGTGGAGCACCTGCAAATACTTCTGTAGATGGCCGCAATTTCATAGCTGATAGTTTATCTAAGGATCTTCTTTCCACACAACAAAATATTCTTGCCACTTCCTCCTTAAAATCAAATGCCTCTTCCTCTGATGATTCACCTCTCTATCAAACTGCAAGAATCTTCACTGGATCATCAAAGTACACTTTTCCTATTCAGCAAAAGGGGAGACACTGGATCCGTCTCTATTTCTTTCCATTCACTTATCAAAAATACAATTTGAGTGCTGCAAATTTCTCTGTTGCAACCCAAAACTATGTGCTTTTTAGTAGCATCAACATGCAGAAAAATCCTGTTATGAAGGAATACTCGGTTAATGTGACCTCAGACACTCTTGTTATCACCTTTACCCCTTCTGATAATTCCACTGCTTTTGTGAATGCCATTGAAGTTGTTTCTGTTCCTGATGATCTCATTGTTGATGATGCTTCTGCGTTAGATCCATCAGCAACCTACTCTGGGTTGGTAACACAGGCACTGGAGACAGTTTGGAGGGTTAACATGGGTGGTCCAAATCTGTCCCCTTTAAATGACTCCCTCCAAAGAACTTGGGTTCCTGATCAAGGTTTCCTTTTGCAACCTAACCTTGCCTCATCTGTTTCAAATATCGATGCTGTTAATTATGAGCCAGGCGGGCCAACGAAAGACACTGCTCCAGCTACTGTTTATGGTACTCTTACACAGATGAACTCGAGCGGTGATCCCCGTAATATTTTCAATTTGACATGGCAGTTTGATGTGGAACCCGGATTTCAGTACCTTGTTCGACTTCACTTCTGTGATGTAGTCAGTAAAGCTCTCAATGAACTCTACTTCAATGTTTATGTTAACTCCTTGTTTGCTGTCCAGAATCTTGATCTCAGTATTATAAGTAATAATAATTTGGGTGCTCCATATTATAAGGATTTGGTTACAGCCTTAGCTGTCAGCAATAAACTTCGCGTAAGTGTTGGCCCTACTAATTTAAATAAGGGCTATCCTAATGCCATTTTGAATGGGCTTGAGATCATGAAAATGAACAATTCTATGGGCAGTCTTAGCTCAGCAGGAGCTCCTGTGGCTATTACCTCGGGTTCAAGTTCTAAGAAAGTTGGCGTGATTGTGGGTGTGACTATTGGGGCATTTAGTGCAGTGATCTTGGCTGGAGTTTTCTTTGTACTATGCAGGAAGAGAAGACGGTTGATACGACAAAAGCAGTCAAAGACATGGGTTCCTTTGTCCGTCAACGACGGAACTACTACCCATACCATGGGAAGTAAATATTCTAATGGCACAACAATAAGTGCTGCTTCAAACTTCGAGTACCGAGTCCCTTTTGTGGCAGTTCAGGAGGCTACAAACAATTTTGATGAGAGTTGGGTTATTGGGATAGGTGGTTTTGGGAAAGTGTACAAGGGAGAATTAAGTGATGGCACAAAAGTGGCAGTTAAGAGGGGAAATCCACGGTCCCAGCAGGGGCTAGCAGAATTCCAAACTGAAATTGAAATGCTATCTCAGTTCCGTCATCGTCATTTGGTGTCTTTGATTGGGTACTGTGATGAAAAGAATGAAATGATCTTGATCTATGAATATATGGAGAAAGGAACTCTCAAGAGTCATCTATATGGTTCAGGTCTCCCAAGCTTAAGTTGGAAAGAGAGGCTTGAGATATGCATTGGATCTGCTAGAGGACTTCATTACCTTCACACTGGCTATGCTAAAGCAGTTATTCACCGTGATGTCAAATCTGCCAATATCCTACTTGATGAGAACCTAATGGCTAAAGTTGCTGATTTTGGATTATCAAAGAAGGGGCCTGAAATTGACCAGACACATGTGAGCACGGCTGTCAAAGGGAGTTTTGGGTACCTTGATCCTGAGTATTTCAGGAGGCAACAACTAACAGAAAAGTCAGATGTGTATTCATTTGGGGTAGTTCTGTTTGAAGTTCTTTGCGCAAGACCTGTCATTGATCCATCCCTTCCTAGAGAAATGGTAAACTTGGCTGAATGGGCAATGAAATGGCAGAAGAAAGGACTGTTGGAGCAAATCATAGATCCAACACTTGCTGGCAAAATCAGACCAGATTCTCTTAGGAAATTTGGAGAAACTGCTGAAAAATGCTTGGCTGACTATGGTGTTGACAGGCCTTCTATGGGAGATGTCTTATGGAATTTGGAGTATGCTCTCCAACTTCAAGAGGCTGTGGTTCAAGGTGATCCTGAAGATAACAGCACCAATATGATTGGTGAACTCTCTCCACAGGTCAACAATTTCAACCATGATGCAAGTGTTTCTGCTGTACAGTTTGAAGGTTCAAATGTGGATGATCTATCTGGTGTTTCTATGAGTAGGGTGTTCTCACAGTTGGTGAAGTCTGAGGGTAGATAGATGGCTTTGAATATCCTATCTTCTAATTTCTGTATTACAGTACCCTTCATTTATGATTTTGTTATTTGTCTTCTGATCAGTAGTTCTCTGCCCCGACATGTTCATTAGGCACTTCGTAGATTTGTAAAGAAAGATTTGAGTTAATGAAACATGTTTGCATAATTGGTATGAGAGGAATCTCCTTGTTAAATCTTTGACATGCGAGGTTTGAATTGGACTATTTTGAAACTTCAGGGTAAGTTGTGCAACTATTCAGATGTACCTTGTCAGCAAGAGAAATGCCTGAATCAACAAGTTTGGCAATGTTATCTGATTAAACTACCATGAAGAGTTGGGTTACATGTTTTGGTTTTGTATCATTTATATTTTTGTGACCAGAGAGGATGTGATAAGAGTAGCATGCAGTTTCTCTGATATAATTCAGCATGCTGTATTTTCATTTGTTATTATGTATTTGCTGTTAATATGAGTTGCATGGTTTATTATATTTTGGGAGTCATTTACTTTCCTCCATTTTATTTCTTATGTATTTGCTGTTAATACAGGCTGCATGGTTTAAATCTTTATACATTGGCAATGTACCTTTTTATTCATTAGCATTTACAAATAATGTGGTATTGATACTTTTAACCTCTTTCGTGGATATTTCAAGAATCAATTTCTCTTGCAGTTAAAACTTTTCTTTCGGTAAGATATGTCATTTTCCTTTATGTGTTGCAGGTACTCACCTGATTCCAGTTTTCAAAGCTTTGATTCTTTTAATTCTGTTCTTACTAATAATTATAAAAACACTACCTTATATTTACTTTGTTCCATATTTTTTAAATAGTTGGAGTAAAAATAATAAAAATGGAACTAAAAGCATTTTCGTTATCTTTAAGTAATATAGTACAGGAATGATAAAAACACCGAAGACCGGAACATATAAAAGCATTTTCTTATTTTCATTCTTTTTTAATGATTTATATATTTTAAATTTCCTATGCTTGTAAGATTTATAATTTTCTCTATTGTTGCATAATCCAATTTGAAATTCTGAAAAGCCGAAGTTTTAGGACATTCTTCCGATATTTTTATTTTCCGACAATAATATTCCTGTCATTCTTTTTCTGACAAGACTCAATGTTTGAATTTAAGGGTGTGCATACATTGAAAGATGATATAGACTGAAGAAGACAATATATAAGTTCTTATTTCTGTGATTAAGCTTATTTATTGAAATAATTATTTGTTTTAATCTTTTTGACATAGTTTTTAAACTAACATTTATTTCCTAAAAAACAATCTTTCACAATCAAACATGTGTTAAATAATTAACTTACAAACTCAACTTTTTATTTCGTCTGTTGTTTAATGGCTGTTATAGGATATAAAAATGTCTCAAATAAAAGTTGAATAATTAAACGAGAAAGATAAAACGACCCATAAATAAAACCATTGGTAAGTTCATGCATTTGCAAAATATGCATAGAATAACCAAGAAATTTCTCAAGTTGCAAATGCTAGAAAAATAATTGTCATGATAAGTATTATTATGTCCATTTTTACCATTAGAAAATGAAGCAATAGAATGCATAACCTATTCTTCTCCCTGCGCATGATCAAAACCAAAATATAAATTCAAGAAAAGATGTTTTTGTTGGCTCTATTTGGTTGGCCCATCCCTATCACGAAAAATGTTATTATTTTCTTTTTGAGGGGTCAGAGATGCTAATAAGGAAATTCATGACTAGATGAACCAATTTACAGGCACCTCTGCCACCACTTCCACTATCTTCTACTAACCTCTCTTTTCACCTACTACCAATGCCACTAAAAGCACAACACCACCAGAGTCTAAAGCATTGCTCTCCCTATAATTTTTTTTAGAGAATCTCTCATCCTCAATTAAACTATGCTACTGAGAATCAAATTTCTAAACATTAAACTTTCAGAATAAAATATTTAAATACATATAATATTTATTTATTTAAAGATTGTAGAATGTTAATCAAGAAGGGAAAGATCAGTAACTGTATTTATTTATGATGAGAAAGTTTTATTTCCATAAAAGTAGAAAAAAAATTATTCTCTGCTATCTAAACATAAATTTTATTTCAATATTAATTTTTCAAAAATATTAAAATATTTCTTATATCAAATGTCACTTTACAATTGACACGCGATAGCTGTTATTACGTACGGCAATACATGAACTCAAATGTCTCACTTCAAATTAATTTATCCCAATCTCAATTATTTTTTGAATTGTGTACTGGTCATTATTTAGCTAATAGCCAAGTATAAGGTTTGTAGATACAAGTGGTGATGAATTAGTTTAGCTTGCTTTAAAAATCAATGTCGTAAACTTGATTCATTTTTTTTTTAAGTTTGGTTTATTTAAAAGCTTACTCTATACTGAGACCTGTTAAATAAGTTTATAAATAAATATTTTAAAATTTAATGAACTTAAACTTATATATAAATTAACGAGTTAAAAATTTTAAATAAATTAATGAATATATAATTTAAAAATATTATAATGAAAATATAATATAATAATAAAAATAATATTATCATTGTTTTAGTTTTATTTGTTTTAATTCAGTGACTTGTTAAGTCTAAACACTTAAAAGCTTACCTTTTATTAAATAATTTAAAAAAAAATCTTAACATGATTTATTTAGCAAATAAATTCAACATGACATAAACATATGAGCTTGATGTAAGCTAAACGAAACTAAACTCTGAATAAGTAGTTTAACTTATTTACATCACTTATTATTTGCTTCTAGCTCTAGGAAAATGGATTCCTCTATGTAAGTTGGGAAAATTATCTTTTTGTACAATATTAATTATTACATATATTGGTGTTTTCTTTATACTTATTTATTACGTGCCAGTGTGTTTCGTTTACATAAAATAGTTCAAATATAAGAGTAAAAAAAAAAAAGAAATATAAATTAATCGAAGAGGGAAAAAAAAAGTAAACTAGTTAAAAATGTCAACTTCAATGATAAAATTATACTAAATTGTGGCTCCGGAGAGAGGTGAATGTTAAAATAAGGCCTTGAAACATGTTACATGTTTCATGCAGAATGAATTCATCTAACTATCATAATAAAAATAAAACCAGAGTTAGTATTATGATAAAATAATTTTATTAAAAGAGTTCAAATATAATTATTAATTTATTTAAATAAAATTATAACAAATGGAAATATTATTAAAAATATTTAAATTAAAATTTCAAATAACTGATATTAAATTTTTTAAATTAATAGACAGAAAATATTACTAATGCAATATCTTTTTACCCTACTTGTCACCACGTGCCTCTGCCGGCTATTACGACGGCAATTCCAACGACAACATTAGCCCTAATCCTTCCACGCATAGGCAATCGTATCTTTATCAAATTAAATCGTTACTATAAAAAGAGAAATTTAGATCTTCTTTTGTTGATTAATAAAGATAAGATAAGGTTGTGTAAACATTAAGAGGTTATTTAAAAGTAATTAAAAGTAAAAATATTAATATAATAAGATAAATGAAAATGTCCAAAATTTGATAAAACTGTTTTCTTAAATAATTTATTAGACTTTCCTTGCAAAATTAAAAAATTATGTTTTTAATTACTTTACACCAACTCTTAATAAAACACTCGTTCTAATTGATTATAAGACTTATTAACTATAAAAAATTATTTTAAATTCAAATCATACAATAATTAATTTTCATCATTTAATCATACATACATAATTAATACCAACTAATCATATAGCTTATATTATAATATTAATTTCTCAAATTTGTTAGACCTATATGAGGTGAATACATTTGTACAACCAGAATACTTGTAATATAATCACTCGTAGGAACTTAAAAAGGACATTCATAAACACAGTAATGACACGTACGAAGTAACGATAATATTAATTTTTATTCAAATCTCACGCATGATCACAGGTGAAAACAGCTGTAGCATCATGATTTGAGGAAAGGTGGTCTGAGAGAAGATTAGAAACGATGATGAGGCACATGAACCTTGGAAGAGCAAGGTAGAAAGGTGTGAAAGATTGAGAAAGCAGCATCAGTGACATTCTTGGCCCTCCCAAGAACCTTATACTTACCCTTGAAATTTAATCTATTGCTAGCACAAACCACACTCTCCTTGAGTGTGATCAAACACTTGACGGTCTTCTCAGGGATACCCACTTTCTTCTTTGAGAATTTATAGCTCCTCAAGTACTTTTGCCTACATGAGAGACTATCAATTGCTCTACTATGAGGACCCACTTCATTAATAGACTTCACTGTCTTCACAAATTCTACATCAGATTCTGGCCACTTGTAGAGGTTTAAGAAGGTTGGTCGAACGGGAAGATTTGTATCATTGACACAGTTAGATATGCAAACTGAGGCCATAGCTTTTGGGAAGGATTCCAGAGCATACTACCCTAATTCCACTGCTTACATTGTGAGAGGCATGGGATAGTATATGACTAACCTTAAGCTTTGCTTTTTATATAGTCCAATTCTTAGTCACCAAAGAAATAATACAGTCCAATTGTATGTACAAGATAAGTGCGAGGGGATGTGACAGAATCAGTTTTTTTAATAATCGAACTATAATATGGATATTCCATGTCAACCTGTCATTAGCAATGATATTTTAGCATTGTCAATGCTGTAATCTGCTAATAGACTATCCCAACAATGCTTCTCCAAGGAGTTAAGAACATTTTTCGGATTTCATAAAATCTTTAAATGCTCTCATTAAATTTCTCATTATCAAATTGATTCCTTTACAAAACAAATCTTGCAATCATGAGACAGAATAAATTAAGACGACGCTTGATCCATAAAAAATAATTATTAATTTATTTTAAATTTTAAAGAGTATTAGTTTATTTTTTATGTATTAATTATTAAATTTTGTTCTACTTTTATTATGGTCAAATTCTTTTTTTTTTGTCCAGCCCAACATAGCCCCCTAATCAACCGGGCCAAAACTGAGTACTCGCACTATAAGTGTCCAACCTGTTTGCACTTTCATATCTATCCGCAGCAACAAACAAAGCTACTGTGGCAGCCCAAATCACTTATGACATTGGGGCCGTCCCCTGCGCCAAGTGACAATATACCCCACACGACCCTGATCCAAACCCCACCCAACAAAAAAAATCCACCTGAGAATTTTCTTCTCCGTTGACTCAACATGTCTACCTTCAATTTTGGGGACGTTATGTGCTATAAATTTCATCAATCGTGTGATTTTTCAATGGAAAAATTGAACTAAAAAACCAAGGGATCCTAATTTAATCTTGGAACCTAAGAACCAAAAACATTTCAACATAAACCACACAAATTTTTAAACATAGGTTCTCATTTCCATTCCTCATTCTCATTTGTTATTATATTTCACTTGTTTTGTTATCAAAACTTCTATTATCCTCAAAGTTACGTCTATACTCATGAGCCAATAAAAATAAAAAGGAAAACAGAAGAGCTAGAAGGCACAAAAAACAAGCGAAGAACCATCAAATAGAGAACTGAAAACAGAAATGATTCTACATTGCAACAGAATAGTTACATCACTGATTTGCCACGAGCTAGCAAACTACCTATAACACAAAGCATGCTCCTAATTTGTTTTTTTCTCTTACTCCAAACAGCACTAACAATCCAATCCAGCCCATGAGGCCCAATCGTTGCAATTTCTTTCTTGACAGCAAGACTTCTCCTCACCAAGAAAAATCGCAGAGGCAAGAAAGCATAGAAAACGAAAACCCTAACCCCCAAATCCATAGAGGGTCCTTCCCTGCCTCTTGAGTGCATAGACAACATCCATGGCAGTGACGGTCTTCCTTCTAGCGTGCTCCGTGTAAGTAACGGCGTCACGAATCACATTCTCCAAAAAGATCTTCAGAACCCCTCGAGTCTCCTCGTAGATCAAACCGCTAATACGCTTCACGCCACCCCTACGAGCCAAACGCCGAATCGCTGGCTTCGTAATTCCCTGAATGTTATCACGCAACACCTTACGGTGTCGTTTCGCTCCTCCCTTTCCCAAACCTTTGCCTCCTTTTCCACGGCCAGACATCTTGTTGCTTAAGACTTCGATTAAGTCAAACCAAAACCTACATACACAAACTACAAATTTTAGCAATGAAATTTATGAGGAGAAAAAATCATTATCATAAGATAAAAATTATAACAAAGAAGCAACCAATTTACCTGTAGGAGGAAGAATTTGAAAGTAGAAACGAGAAACTGAGTTATGGTAAGAGAAGAAACTTGACGCGGATGCACTTTATAGGTGGTGGTGAGAGTGAGGGTTACTGTGTCGATCCGTGTGATGCTTTCTCCGAGGCATTTTGGGCGGTTGATTGATTTCTTATGTACGGTTTAGATCAGATAAGAGACGGAAGCGGATCGATGACGTGGATGTGGTCGTTCTATTGCTACGTTTGAAAAAAGTGCTTCCTATTGTTGGCGGGTTAGGTCCCGCGGATTTCATCCTTTTTCAGGGATGGATGCCGCGAATCAAACAGTGCCTAGCAATTTTGTTGATAAAAAAGTTACTTTTTAATAAATATTAATTTATTTTAATTAACATTTTATTATTTACCTAATAGAACGTTCAAAAACATATTCTAGATATTTTACATTAGTTTAATATTTAATGTTATCACGAAAAATTATAACTATATATATATATATAGGATTGATTTCAAACATAAGCAAAATAATTTATAAGAATTATCATTACACTAAAACATAAATTGTGTTTAGTACATGTGAATTTACGAAAATTTGTTTGCTCAAAATATGAAAGCTTGATATATAAAAACACAATGAGATAAACATATACCACATTTTTATTTTATTTTATGTTTAACATAATAAATTAAGTATATTATGATTTTTTAATGAAATTTTGCAAAATAAAAATAGAGTAAAATATATCATATGATATATGCATAAAGTCAAATCATTATACGTTAGAAATAATATAATTATATTTTAAAATAATTTATTAATTATTAATTTTATTATTCTAATTTAATTATCATTATTAATCATATCTTCAGTTATATGTAACTTTTATTTGTGCAATTATAATGATTAAAATATTTTAATCTTTTGAGAAAACTGCACAAAATATGCATATATTTTTATTATATTTATTTCTCTAAGTTATGAGTTGATGGAGCTTACTAGTTATTGAGAGTTTTGTACATTCAAATAATAAGAGTATGTTGTATTCTAAATAATTTTTTATTACAACGAAATAATCTTTAAGGATAGTGTTTTACACTCTTCAGACTAAATTATTGATTAGCTACTTCGTATCATTTTCATAACATTATATCGATAAATAAGCCTAAAAATTATGATAAGTTAACATTTTTTTCTTATTATATTTCAATTGATAGACAAATGCTTAATGTCACCAATAAAAATTGCCACTAATATTATTAAATATAATTTTAAAAAGTTAACTGCAAAATATAGATTTAATTTAGATTAAATTTTTAATTTAAATATAAATTTATTATAAAATTATTTCATTTTAACTGAAACAAATTATCATCTAAAATATACGAAAATAATGCATTATATATTTACATAACATTACAATAATTTTGAGTAATTTTTTATATCAAAATATAATAAAAACGACATAAATATATTATAATTGTAGTTCAGATCATTGTAATTTAATTTTTTAAAAATATTAATTAAATTAAATTGAAATATAATATATATATTTTAAATTAGTTGGATTAAATTTTAATTTTAATAAATACAATTATGTAATATTCTCTCACAATAATAATGATTTGTTATATGTTTTGTAAATTAAAGATTGAAACAAAATAAATAAATAAGTTGAAATATAAGATAAAGAAAGATATTTTACTTGTTTGATGTAAGAATAGAAAAATGAAAAAATATATATTAAATTTAATTATAAAAAATAATTGAGTTAAAAAAATAATACTTTTATCCTTTAAAATAATAAAAAAAAAATTCCACATCTCTTCCCTATTTTCTTTAAATATTTTTTCTTTATTAATAATTGTTACTAAAAAAGTCATTTCCATCTCCCTTGTTTCTCCGTCCTAACATCTATATCTCTTCCTTCTTCCCCCTGTCTTACCTTTCTTTCTTTTAAATCTTCAATCCTAACAAAACATTGAAAGCTTTTTTTCTTTTCTTTTTTTAAGTTTCGCTGAAGTCACGAGGGGATGCTTCTCTAAATTATTCAATTAGAAAAATAATAATCAATGCTATTTTTTAAGGAAACATGAAAAAAAATTAATGAAAATGGTATGTTTTTATATACAGTATTGATTTTAGTAATGTGATTTGAGTTGAAATAAGATTTCTTTTATAGAGACTGAATTGATAAAAAAACTTTCAGTTGAAATGAGTTATAAACTTGTTATATATTCAGTTAAAAATAATGTTAAGAGATCTCGTAAATTAGAACTTCTAACAAGAAAAATTAATATCTACTTCAATTTTATACTATTATTAGTTTATATATAATTTTTTTTAATTAATTTTACTTTTCTTTATTTTATTAGATTTTTTTATATATATACATATAAGTAAAATCTTTTTATACTAATTTATTTAATTTATATTTAACGGATAATTATTGAATATAAATTAAATAAAAATTTTAAATTAAATCTAAAAATCTTTACACTAATATAAATTATATATATATATATATTTATTATCTCAAACATATTTATAACTTAAAAAAAAATTAATGATTTAAAAAATTAACGTTTCTTAAAAAATTGCATATTAAAATTTTTTGAAAAAGAAGAGTCAAATCAAACTTTACTTTAGTGAAGATGAATTGATAAATCAAAATCAAGTAACAAATTTTGATGCCCTTGTCTATTTTTTTTAAATAGTCATCAACCTAATTTTATCCGTTTCATCTTTTTTTTAAAAAAATTTTGAAAATATAAATTAAAGATTTAAGATAACTATGCATTCTAAATATCAGAGTCATATATTTCTTGTTTTTTTAATAAAAAATATAAATTCATGGTGAAGCCAAATAAAATATTTGGAAACATGTTTTTGTCTGTTAGAGTGTAGAAAATAAGAGGTTTTAGGTGCTGCCATTGCCAAAACCCCTGTGCAGCCACAGCCATGGGCTACTTCGACCTGAACATACCCTACCCTGAACCTTCACCCGCTAACAAGGCCACATCACAAAGCAATCGCACGAAACTAGTGGTGAAGGCCATGGAGTTAGGTTACACCGGAATCGCTTATAACCGCACTATTAAGGGCGTTATGTCTGATCAACACCGTTGTTCCATCTCTCCCCTTTCTCTTTCCACTCTCCTTAATGTCGTTCCGTTTCTCTCTCTATCCGCAAAGCTCCACCGTCAGCTTCTCGGAATTCCGTTATCAACTCCGTTCCGTCAATACACGCGCCTCACCGTTTGCGTCGATAGCCCCTCCCAGGCTCAGGCGCTCAATTCTGGTAACCCTATTTTGAAGACCTACGATTTGGTCGCCGTTAAGCCGTCGAATCAGACCGCGTTTGATCTCGCCTGTGAGAGAATGGAGGTTCGTTAAATTTCGCGTTTATGATCGATTATTGAAAGTTAAATGTGCATTGTAGTTCAATTGTGATTGTGTATTGGTTTTGAATTTTGATGTTGAAAATTATTGCAGGTAGATATTATCTCAGTTGATTTCTCAGCTAAGTTACCTTTTAGATTGAAGCAGCCTATGGTTAAAGCAGCTACTCAGGTTTGTTCTTGAGTTTTGGCTTCTGATTTTCTGAAAATACAAAAAATGGAGCTAAAAATTAACACGTTCTTATTGATACACAGCGTGGGGTTTGTTTTGAAGTCACGTACTCAGGTCTTTTTGCTGATATTCAAATTAGGAGACAGTTAATTTCCAGTGCCAAGGTGATTGCCACTTCCCTGTGAATTCGTTGGAAGATTTTTTATCGTTGCTGATTTGTGTACTTCGCTTCTCGTAGTGTTTTTGATATTATTGGCAAGTCATTTGTGTATGGCTTTTTTAATAAATTTTGTGGCATCGTTTAGTAGACATACTTTCACGCTCAAACAAACATTTGTATCACGAGTCTTTGTTAAGATGGTTCTCTTTTTATTAAGTTGAGTCGGTGAAATGTGTTTTGAAGCCTGATAGGTTGTTAAAAGTTTTTAGGGATGACACCTCTACTTTGTGTTTTACCAATTAAGAAAGATTTAACATTTTGAATTGAATGTGTACTTAGAGTTCCTATTGATGAAGGAATATGTGGAATTCCCCTCCTTTATGCTCGAAATAGGTTAATTAACAATTGTGTAGCCTGAACCTGTCAAGCAAAGTCTAGACATAGAGACAAACTTGTGCTTGGTTCTGTATGTGCGTGAATGGGCATATACTTAATAGCTATCGCTTATTGTTTTAAGCTAAAAGCAATTGTCGACATGGTAGGTAAGAGATTCCTTGTGGGCTGGAAGGAACCAATTAGTTCCTGTGGTAAAATATGTATATATAATATAAAACACCTGAAATTACAAGACTTGTCCACAAAATTTTTCTTTTGATCCTCAGTACCTTTTGTCATACAGTTCTTATTATCTTATTACCCCATATCTGGGTTTTACTCTCCTGTTAGAGTAGGATCTTATGCTGTGTGTGTCTATCATTAAACCCTCTTACAAGTATAGTCTTACAAATAGAGTTAAGGCCTATGATTTTGACAACCTTTTATGTGATTATAATTACATCATTGAAACATGTACAAACTTACATGCTGATTAAACATGTAGTTGTTGATGGATTGGACTCGGGGACAAAACATAGTATTTTCAAGTGGTGCTCCTTCAGTGAATGAGCTTAGAGGACCTTGTGATGTTGCAAACTTGTTGTCATTGTTTGGACTCTCCAAGGAGCGTGCTAATGCAGCAATTTCTAAAAATTGTAGGTATGGAATCTGCTAAAATCCTTTCTTGTTGTTTGGTTCTTTGGTAGATAATGTTTAAGATGTCTTGAGTATCGTTCTGATTGGTTTGCAGGATTCTTTTAACCAATTCTTTAAAGAAAAAGCGATTTTACAAAGAGGCAATAAGAGTAGAAGTTCTATCATCAGATGTAGCATCTCATTCTAAGGAAGATCAGTATCAAGAGTTAATGAAGTGGGATCCTATCTCCAGTGAAGGTGATATTCTGTTGGATCACTTGGAAAAATCTCTTTCAGCCTCCTGTAAAGCATCAAAAACTACAAAAGCCATTGACTTTGTTTCAGTGGTTGATAGCCTTCCATCTAAAGGTTTTGAAATCAATGATCTGTTACCTGCAAATAGTGCTCTATCTGTTTGCCCAGATAATACGGTAAAGTTCCCACTTGTTGCTGAAAACCTAAATCAGTCAACATCTATATCTAACAACTTAACCGAGCAACCCCACAAACTTGATGTTTGTTTCAAGCAAGACGAAAACTCCTTATCAGATGCTATAAATACATGTCATGTTTTGAATCATGACAATATATTTGAGAAAAATATATATAGTGGAATTACTGAAGCTTTCAATATTAAGGAGATAGACAGTCCAACAAATGCCACCAGGTTAGAGCTGAAAAAATTTATTGATTCAGATGTCCCGACAGATAACATGGATAAATCTTTTTTAGCCTCCTGCCAAGCATCAAAAACTGCAAATGCCACAGACTCTGTTTCAATGGCCGAGAGCCCTCCAGCTCATGGTTCTCAAATCAAGGATTTCTTACCTGCAAATAATGCTTTCCCTGTTTTCCAAGATAATAAGGTAAATTTTGTCCCTGTTGCTGGAAAAGTAAATCAGTCTACACCTGTTCCTAACAGTTTAACTTTGCAGCCCAACCAACTTGGTGTTAGTCCTGAGCAAGATGAAAGCTCTCAACCACTGAAACAAAGCGACAAGTTTTTGGAGAAAAATATACGCGGTGCAACAACAGAGGCTTTCAATTCTATGGAGATAGACACTTCAACAAATGGCACAAAGTTAGGACTCAAGTATTCTGTTGATACCGATGTTGGGTGTATCCTGGTTGAAGCAAAAGCGGTTGATTCACAATCAGACACGAACATGCCAAGCAAAATGTTGGAGAATGTAAAACCACACAAGAACAAGAAACTGCATGGATCTTCAGAAGATGCAGAAATAGATGATGCACACAATATTGATCATAATAACAAGAAAGGTTCTGATCTCAATTTAATTGAAGAAATTGACACGATGTGCGAAACTTTGCCAAATAAAGATTTATTAAAAATTGCAAAGCAAACGGTGTTGGAGTTTAACTCATCTGCTTCTGAAACTTCAATGGAGGATGAACAATTAAACATTGAGGATACGAATGCAGTTCAACATAATGAGATGCAACAGCCAACTTCTTATGATGAGATGAAAGTGGAAGATAATTCCACAGTTGTAGAACATTCATCGCCAGAAATTATAATGAAAGATAAAAATCTTGGTGAAGTGAGCTCTGATTCTGAACAACTTGCCATGGTTTATTCTGTATCAGGTATCCCATTCATTGAATCTTTAATTGGTTATTCAAAGCTATATGTCAAATTTTGAATCTTTCATGTAGTTTGACCTGTACTTATCCCTTCATTTCCGTGACTGTGTTATTTCTCATAGCTTCCCCTGTAAGTGCATATTTTCCACTTGCATGTTTCCACTGAGTTTTGTGATGCATGTCTAATTGAGTATATTTCTGCTATCATCAGGTCGATTGAGGGAGAAGCGAAGGACATCTCGTGGACCAATTTTATTCCCCTTCAAGCGTTTGTTGAATCCGATGCTATTTAAGAAGAAAGGCAAAAAAAGTAAAAGCAGAACTAAGCTAAAATAATCTTTTTCTTTTGTTTCTGGATTATTATTGTTACATGGCTTAGGTATGAACTAATTCTTTATAATGTATATTAACGCTACCACATGGACTGGCATTATACTTGCTTGCCAACTCATTTTAATTTTTTTTAAAGTGAATTTTAACTATAGGCAAGATGTTGAAATATATTTGATAACAACCGTGATTAGAAAGAAATATTTACAATTCCATTCCTTTTTTTTATTGCTGATCGTTTAAATTTTTAAATGATTTATAAGATTCATGTACAAATTTATTTGGTTTATATCGTTCTTTAAATTATTAATATAGTAATTAATGATGGAACGGAAGATTTTGGAAAAACAGAATTTGAAGTTTTGAACACCAAAGTGAGGAGTCTCCTCTTATGATAAACAATATAGATACGGGCTTTTAATTTGCTAGTATCATGTCAATAATAACGGTGAATATTAGGAATTTTGACTTACAACCAATCTGCGTCTTATCAGAAACTAGGACTGCATAGACGACTAGGATTTTTTGCTATGGATTTATTTACTTAACAAGTGATGGCACCTAGGCCTCGGTCAGTGTCGCGTGTTTAATATACATGGAATTGATATTTATAGAATGTATTTATCATTTTTGTTCCTGTGATAAGTATGATTTTGTATCCTGGAATATTGGTTCCATTCTTCTATTCATCGAATTGACATTAAGCCATTAACACATTTCAAGCTTTAATTCCCATAGTTATAGCATTAGTGATTGCTTTCGTGTAGCTAGTGAATGTGGGAATGGTCATTTTTGGCAGAATGAAATGAGTATTATTGTTTTTAGTTTTTTGATGTATACATCTAAAAAAAATAAACAAAATCAACTCCATTTAAGAGTGAAGCAAACGCTGGAAGTGATTTTGTGTGAGGGAAACATGCATCTCATAATTGATCAGTGTTGCTTCTGGCCGATTTCTTCTAGCAGTCTTATTGGGTTATGCTTGCGAGGGTTTAATACCTTTTCAACAATTATTCGGAATCAAATTCGCCTCCTGTGACACATTGTAATGTAAGAATAAGATTGAGCTTAATTTGGGTGTACAATTTATGTTCAATGGTTAAAAAATAATTTTATTAAAATTAATTTATCTAATTTTAATACAGAAATTCTTAGGGATTAGTGGTGCTAATTGATTTGAATTTATTTTTACAAGGTGGGCATGAGTTGAAGTCCTGTTGTGAAATTATGATTGAACGGAAACCAGGATGTGAAAAAACTTTAAAGGTTATTTATTGATAGTTGTCAAACTCGTTCTTTTTTACGTGCAATTCATGTTTGTACTAGTCATTAATATGCTTTCTTTGTTTTCTTTACTTGGCCCTAGACTTTGGACTAAGAATGATTATTTCATTCAAGGATATTCTATAATCTTTTTTATTTTTAAATTTTTGGAGAAGTCCTATTTTCTGCATTTTCATAATCTGCAGTTGCTTCGCCATATCCAATAATTCTTGGACCGTCAAGATCGCGCACATTTAGATATATTAAAAGAGTAAAATGGCTTCTGACAAAAAAAGAAAAGAAAAAGGAAGAGAGTAATATGGGTGGTGACTGATGGATAAACTCATTTTTTAAGGTATTCATATTTGTGATTGTCATTTGCCAGTAGATTTCCACGCATGCGTTGCTTTAGGAATATCCTTGCCGTATAATCGATATTCTTTTATTAGTTCTGATCTGATGAAAGAGCACTAACTAGTGGTATGTTGGAATGAGGTTTCTGGGAGCATGCTTTAGATTAGGTTTTCTCAATAAACTACCGTATCTAATCTTGAGTAGATACGTTTGAGTTTCTTTTAATTAAATTCATTAAATGATATGTTAACAAAAGATTGGAAATAGTGTACCAAAATAAATTTTATTAATGAAGTATTTATAGTTTGAGGTAAATGCTAATTATTTCTTATATTACCATGGTTAAGGAATTATATTAATTTTTTTTATTAAAAATGAAATAATTTACTTTTTTCCCCAATAACTATTTATACATTTTAAACATAATTTAATCAAACGTGACTTTTCACCCTAAGAACATTTTTTATTTACTGATTTTGTAACTAGCAGGATTTATAATTGAATAATTTCAAATCTTTTTACCTTTCATTCTTATAAATCTTTCTATTTAAAAAAATATACTAAATATCTGATATTTTTAAGATGATAAATACATGTACTTTTCATGTAATACTTGTTTTATAAAGTATGTTGGAAAACAATTAGAAAAATATAACTAATTTTTTCAAAATTTAATTGCAAAATGCAAGATCGTTTTATTTTCTTCCAGATATGCATTTGTGATCCTTTAAATTCGTGTTAATTGTTACTCTGAATCGTTATTATGAAAATTGAATTGTACTGGTTTTATTGAAAATTGGGTTTGTTTGTTGGGGATGCAGTTCTTTTAATTATAAGAAATAATTGATTCATTAAAAATAAAAAATTAATTATTCATTATAAATTTATAATATTTAAAAAAAATACTTATAATAATAAATATGATCACGTTGCTTCTTTTTAACTCTTTGCTGGTAACTATACCTTATTGAGTCACATGTAAAATCATGTAGGTCTTATATCTATCTAAAGAATCTCTTATACATAATGTTATGAAACATAATAAATTTTAATTAATAACAAATAATGTATTAAAAAACTATAGTAAAGAATATGTTATTTTTACTTATCTCATATAGCTTTATTGCAATTATTACTTTCAATTTTTTATCTCGTTCTTTTATTTCAAGTGTTCTCTGGTTTGTCCCCGTCCCAAAAATATTTATCCAATAAACCTAATTTCTTTCGATAAATCTGCCCATTTGTTATTGTTTTATACTATAATTTAATTAAACGTATTTCTTGCAAGCAAAAATTTCATGGTTTTTATATCATCTAAGGATGACTTAATTAACGAATCACAAAGTATATTGTTATGAAATTATCAATCTTTTACTTGTTGGCAGAGTCTCCTTTTGAACATAACCCTAGATGGTGAAAGAATATGCGATTCTCTGCATTGGAGAAAAAGAAATAAAGAGTAAGAAGGAGAAGGGAAGTTTCCAACTAGTGGACGGGACCTAGTACACCGGCAAAACTGATATTGGTAGCCATGTGATGTTAATATATTTTTGTTATTACTATAAATATATAACTTTGATGGTGCTTTTTTCTTGGGTGACACTTGTGTTTTGACGGTGTTGTAGTAGTTTTGATTTTGGAGTGGCCCTCCTCACATGATCTTTTTACTTAATCAACTCGAGTCATCATGATTAATTAAGAAAAAAACCTTTTCCAACCTTGTAGGTGTTGCATTATATAGCTAGCTCGTAGCTCATTATAATGCCATCCATTATCCGTATATCATGCACTTATTTATTCTTTCTTCTTCAAGGGTGGGGCTCCCATAATTGAGCAACCACCCTGTGGTTTTCTGCGTCCAACAATTCATCGTATGGGGTAGAAAGAAAACCCTTTTGTCAATTTTTTTGTTTTAATTTTAGTATTTTCAACTTGTGTTCATATACATGCAATAAAAAATTATTAAAAACTATAGCATTTAATGCTATTAAAGCATTCAATTCTGTAATATTTTTGTTATATGTAACACTGGTATTAGTGAATTTGTAATGCTTTGTAGAAATTAAATAGCATTAGTATTCAAGTTTTGCTACTGGGATAGGCTAACTCCTTGTGGGTAATTATTGATTAAGAAGTTGAACCTCAAAACTATGACGAGATTCATATCAAAATTAGCAACAAGTGAAGATTTGTTTATTTTAAACGCTTTGAGGGGAGCATAACATACACCGAAAAATCAAAATCAAAATAAGCACGAAACAAAAATAATTAAAGAGTAACAATAATTGGGTTTCACTTTACATTTTAATTTTGTTATCATTTTTGGATATTAAAAGCTGCCCATTAACCTAGTGGCTAACACACCGCCGGCCGACAAAGATGAATAGGGCCGTCCTCCCCACCATTGGATGTTACCTTAGAAGCTGTAGCCTTTAGCTTTGAAAGGAACACGAATTCATAACCTCATCAGATTTAGATAGAGCATTGACAATATATATATATATATATCTCTTCAACCAACCCTCAATTTCACAACTTGTTCAGGTAATATCTACAACCCCCTAAGTAATGATTAGTAAAAAGTAGAAAACGTAGCCAATTTGAGTATAAATTAATTATTCTAAAAGAAAGCAAACTATAAAATGTAAGCAATATAAAAATGGGAGGTTGCTTGCTTTGCATGCTAGAACATGCCTGAAACTTAAATTTGTCAAAAAGATTGGACTGATTGGCTTGGAATTAAAACATTTTGTTTAGTCAATGCGTGGAATGAAGCATAAGTTACTTTTTTTATGCTTTCTTATGGATGAGTCTATAAATACAATAGGATATTTTTATTAACTTATTTAGAATTTATTTAAACTTGTAAAAGTATTTTTTTAGATTGAACATAAGTTTTATTAAATTTATTTTAATAAAATTTATAGCCTAACATACTATATAAATAAACCCTCTTACTTATTTTAGATTATTACGAAATTTACAATTTACTATCTATGATTTAATGATTTACTCGAGTTTTATGCTTTGTGCGCTGTAAACTATAGTCCTTCTCAAAAGACATAGCAAGAATGGGGCAGGGATACGCGTTACACTATATTTATATGGATTATATATAACTTGGGGCAAATTGGCCCCCATTCAGGAGATTTTCTGCACATTAATATACAGTATTTTGTAAGCTTTGGAAGTGACGTTGGTAAGCATTTTTTTTAGTGCATATATGCATATCAGCTAATTAATTAATAGCAGACATAAGTGACAGAATCAAAATCCATGTGCATCAGAAACGAAAGGGACCAACTGTAATCATATAACAAAATCTCTGTACAAATATGAGACAATGTATGTCTAAATGTATATAATGCGTGCAAGTCTAATTGTTCTACTTGTAAAATGTCATTTCAATTGGTGTGCGAATAATATTTTCCTACATGATTTTAGTAAATATTTTGCAAATACTGTAAAAAGATTTTGGATTAACCATATAATTATATGTTAAAAGAATCATGAAAGATTGACTACAAGATTTTTAAACCGCAAAATTATTTTCATATACTATTGTAATATATATTAAGATTAATTGTATATGAACACATAATAATGTTATAGTACAAAAGTTTAGAAAGGTACAATAGTGCAAATCTTAATTTATTTTTTAAAATAATTGTTTATTTTTGTATTTTTTTAAAATTAAGCAAATTATTTTAAAATAAGCGATTTTAAATATAAAGTTGATATATTTACATAATGAAATAAAAGTATATTTAAACTATATTGAATTCGTGAGGTGGTTTTTTTGCATCCATATACATAAGGTGACTTCGAATTGAATGGCCCTCTTGTGATTGTTGCGACTCTTGCTGGCTTTGTTAATCCTGAATAAAGTTGTTTTAAACAAGGATCTGCATATTCTCAAATTAATAAATTAAATTACAATACGTTTGATGTTAAATTAAAGTTGTATTTTTTTGTTTCTTATTGATGTGTTATGTCTTCGAGCTCAAATAAGCATGTCACGTGGAATTGATTCTGGCTGCTTCAGCAAAGTGCACTATTCAAAGCTCAAAACCTTCAAAGTTCAAAGGATCTTTGCTTATGTATTGTTCAGCTTCCAACCTTCTTTACTCTCTGACTCTTCAGTCCTTTTCAGAGCATTAACACTCCAACAACGTTCTATCTTCATAATTGCATTTGAACCTCCCAATATCCTCGACCGCAAGAAAAAGTTGACAGGGCCACTCTCCTGTACGTTTTTGCGTATGGGCAAACAATTGTTGAGAAGCCAACTATGTAATATTATTTTATAAGATACATATTCAGCAAAACAAAAAGATAAAAATATGATAAGTAGTTTTTACCCTACATTTAACTTTCTTATACTCCATTCACGCCCACTTTTTGGTGCTCTCTCTCTACACACATATATATAAAGTAGGGTGGTGTAGGAAAATTGTGTGAAAATAAACTCAGAAAAGCCTTAATTTGTTGAACTTGAAAACAAATTCGGAGCACTTCATTGTTGTCCTGTCCCAAATTTACAGTAGGTACATCCCCCCAAAAAGTGATGGTCACTGTCTATTTTATATTTTTCTCGCAAGTGCTTCAACAAAAGAATATGACATCTAGCTATAAACACATCAGGGAGACTTTAACCACAAGTACAACTATTGCCAAATTTTTTATCCAATAATACATTGCTGCTGAATCCTATAAGAACATAGAGGGCACTCAAAAACATCACCCTAGATTAAATTCTAAAAATTGCACAGATGACTTAAATAACTATATTTACATTACTACTATTATCTAAACTAATTAAAGCGCATTACAATACTTTGAAAAAGAAAAAAGAAAAAAACTAGGTTATCAAACATGCAATTATTCTAATATAATAAACCATAAGAGGAACTGCCTTGAGACTCCTGAACAAGATTAGCAGCAACTATGGAATCTAAGACACTGACCCAATTCTCATCTTCCTCATCCTCTTCCTCTCCACCACCAATTTGGCTCCACTGAATTGTAGTGTTCTTCTCTGTTTCATCATTTCTCGCAAACCGTCCTCTAATGCGTGGCCTGCTGTCTGCCAATGTCTTCCTGCATGCATACTGATTCCCAGAAGAAAATAAGTTCATATTTTTACCATAATTTTTCATAACTATCGATTAGAGAGTAGAATAAAGGGTGTGTGATTAATAACAAGTCTGATTGATCCTGTTCTCCAACATTAAGATTACTATTTACTAGTAGCCTTTGAAGAAAATAAGACAAAATCTATGTGAATATTTTCATACTTAAAATTCTGAGCATAAAAAGTATACACCTAAAATTACAATTATTGTAATGTTTAATCTTTTGTATGGTCAGCGGAGGTCTATCAAGCAGTGTATCGAGAGCAAATTCTTGCCCTATTATATTGAAAATGTTTCACTTCTTTTCAAAATCAGGATTTTGACCAATAGATTATCTTTTTACTGTATCTCTTAACACTAAATTCAACCTTGGACATGATTTTATCTTTAACATAGATCATGAAGCGATTTTCAAAAAGGTGTCCTAACAGTAGATTTACTCTTCACACTGTGTCGTCCATTATATTTGTAAATTTGTGGTTCTTTTAAATTCATCCGAGGAAGTCTCCTAATGCAAAAGGTAATCTATATTTTCCTATTTTAATGGCATGTATATTCCACTCTATAAAGGTTTATTTAGTGTAGCACGGGACCTTATTCACAAGAGTAAACATAGGTAGCTACTAAAAGTGAATGTGTGATTTATTTTTAACAGCTTTAAAAAGTTTTTTTTTTTTTTAAGTGAGTATTTGTCTAAAAATTGAACTAAATATAATATAAATAATGCAGGCGCGTATATGAAGATGAACCTTAATTTTCTTGTTGAAGTTCCTCTGGTTCCTCTTGCTTCTGTATCTCTCAATTCTGACCTTCTTCTCCTCCGGACTATATCTACAGGCTCTGCTCATCCCTTCGATGATCATACTGCTCTCGCTTGACAATGGACTATCCAAGTGATGATTCTGTTGCATTCCATTAACCCCCTGTACAAACATTGCCCGTTATTAAAACAAAGGAAAATGGTAATTAATTAGTATCTTTGTCAAAAACATATTCTTTAACGTGCTTTTCTTCACAATCTCTTATTTATCAGTTAAAGAATGTAATTTATATACATTGATAATGTAAAATTTCATTACACTTTCATTCAATTAGAAATTATTATACCAACAAAAAAATTTAATTTCTTTAGTAGTTAATATAAAAAGTGTCTCGCGACATTTGACTATTCATAAACAAAGCTTACAGTAACAATAATTTGGAAAGGGTGTAGAGTAGATAGCATGGGGATGAGAAGCAGGTGATGATGGACTAAAGAAGAAGAGTAGAAAAATGAGTATATACGTAGATAGGTACGTATAGGTACCTGCAGATCACCAGTACTGGAAGTTCTTCTGACGGGGGCGTCGTCGGAGTCAAGGAGCTCAGCGAATAGAGCAGTGAAGGGGTGGTGGGTGCCACTATTGTGATGATGGAATTGGAGGGAATGGCTGCTAACACTTCTCTGCATCAAAGTGGGACTCGCCAGAGAAATGGGTGACCCACCATAGCTGCTATAACCACTGCCACAACTATGGCTGTTGTAGTAGTAACTCGTCTCCGAGTTGTTGAGTTGGGAGAGAGTCTCAAACTCGGTGAGTTCAGGGAAGCTGTGGTGCATTAGAGGGGAAGGAGAGGGGAGGGTTGATCCGGTGTTGGAGGGTGCATACATGGCGGTGTGGATCAAAATTATGAAATGGAAGCAGTTGGTAACGGGAATGAGTGAGATTGAAAGAATGAAGATAGAAGACACACTCCCAATGCCAAGCATTTAAACATTTATGAATTATGAGACACGTGGCAAGAGCTCCTAAAATGCCCAAAAAATTAAATATTCTTATTCTGAAAAATTAAAAATGATAAAAGGGATTGGACTCGAGCTGTGAATGACGCGGATGATGACGTAATCGTTTGATTGAAGTAGGAGTGCGTTGACCTGTGTTTTCAACTTGGAAGAGTGATATTAGGGGTTGGAGTTTGGTGATGGCATTGGGTAAAACCTACAAATATAGTCCCCTCCAATTTATTTGATCCCCCTTAAAATTCGTTCAAAAGATAATTCCTCCATTAAAGTAAATGTGCAAATTTTAATAATTTTCTAACATTTTTAAATGAATTTTACCAAATAATATTCTATTTTTAAAAGAGTTAGAGGTGTAAAAGACATCGTTCACGAATTGAAATGAATCAATAGCGGGATTTTAGGGGGAAAAAACCACGAGCTTTGAATGTTTCATTCAATAAAAATATATATATCTAAATATCCACACACACAGTTATTTTAATTTTATAATAAATCATTTGTTTCATTACAACAGGTTGTTCTTCGCATATTTTGCCTTATACGTGTAAATTTTAATTATTTCGCTTGCTCAACAAAAAAAAAATAACAAGAAAAATATTAATTAATACCTTAAGAGTACTATCTAAGAAATTAAAAATAATTTTTTAATAAATATAAAAGATACATTCTTGAGTTTTGCTTTTTATGACTACGAGCAAGTAGCAGGGAGGTCAACGAGACAAAGAAATGGAGCTGGGAGCTGACATCCCATAAAAGATTGATGTCAGTATAAAATTCTGAAGTCACTTCACATACAAACTCACAAACTACTTTGAAGGATGTTTTGAAGAAAGAATTTCCACTTGGACATGAGACAGATCTTATGTCTCCATTTGGTTTAGCCATACGTTCAACTCTTAATTTGGATGATGCCACTTAAAACAGCGCTTTAATATTTCCATTAATCCTTAAAAATGGAGCCCAAATCACCTTCATCATCTGGCCAAGAAAAATACTAGTGCTTTCTGAATGCTCACACGACTCAAAAAATTTATTAGAAAATAAGCAATGCTTTTAGAAATTAAAATATGACAATAAAAACAGATTTTTTTAGAAAATAAATTCAGATTTCGAAGCTGACTGAGCTCCCCAGTCTCACACAATGGTCAAAGGAGGAAGAAAGTTGAAGAAGTAGCACTTTCTTGCGTGGTCCTTTTGCTATTGGTGTGACATATTGCCTCTCCCGAAAGGTTATAAAATCGTACCCAACTAGCATCTGACCCTACCACTTGCTGTAATTTTCGACATCCCTTCACTGTGACATTCACATGGAGACAGATATAGTGGTGATATACAGTATCAATACACAGCAACCAAGCTCTAGATAATTTAATTAGATTCTTACTCATAATTAATTAGGCTGAGGCAAAACCTCCCTAGTTTAGGTTGTTAGGGAAGATTAATTAGAATTAGGAGTTAGGATTTCAACTCGGAATGTCATTATTTTCATCAGAATCATCATTAGAATTTAAATAGCACTATAAATATCTTGCTGGTCTAATGCTTTAGACAACTATATTGGAACATGTTGTTTTCAAAATGAGAAGGGCCGTTTAAAATCTTACTTCTTAACTATCTATTACCTACCCGTAGCACTCGTTGACGAAGCAAATGCTTATTTATCATACATGCCCTTGATACATTATTTGTTCCCATAGTACGAAAATATGAGTTATAATTACTTTTCTTAAACTATTTATAGCAAAGTTGTTGAATAAATGTTGATGTGGTATTTTTAAACCTAGCTAGGATTAATTACTGCTACCCAAAGCTTATTTTACTGGCATTGGAATTAAACGACAAGGCTTCTAAAAGTGAGTATGTTTGTATACTAAAAAAATAAAAATTATTTATTGTTAATTTAATTTAAAGTATAAAATAATACTAACTCATAAGGATTTGATGGATGAATAGATCGATTGATACAAAGCAAAGCTAGCATTTTTAATTTTTTTTTGCTGAAAGACAATGCATAAAATGAAAATTTAAAATATATTAGCAAAATCATCGTAACGAAATTCATTGATAGTTAAAAGATTCATAGCTATTAATATTTATATAAAATGTAGATTAAAAACAAGAAGAAGTAGAGTAGTTATTTGAAAAAATTGAACTTTGACAATCCTTCTTAAAGTCAATTTTATAAATAATTTACTGCATTGAAAATTAGAAATATTTTTAAATTTAATATAAACATCTAACTTATTTGCAAGAAACAAATGATGTATTTGTTGTCAGAGTCTTATCTCAAAAAAATTTCACTGCTAAAAATGCTCTTTGTAATTGTAATGAGGACCAAAAGTATCAAAAAAAATTTAATCAATCTATTAATTGTGTGTGACAATTTGTTAAAAATTTTCATAATTTTTGAAATGGAGAAAATTGAAGGTGGGTTGTATTAATTAAACAATAATGTCTTAATTATAATCTTAATCATAATTAAAATGCTCAATATTATAGGTGTTCAATAATTTGTAATTATTGCTAAGGACCAAAGTCTCATTCTTAGTTAAATGTTTTATAATTGTATTAATAAATCTAAATTTCAACCATTGTAATCAATTATTTTTGCTACTAATCTTAAATAAGTATTGTTATAAATAAAGTGAAATAGTTTTTTTTTTAAAACGATGATAGTATTAAATAATTATAGTAAGTTAATACTACTCCATACGAATAGGTAGAATTAATGTTACATTTAATTAAGTGGCTGTTACACATACACTCACTCATTAGTGGGAATTGTCTAGCACTGCAAAAATAGAGACAGAGTGATGATGATCTCAAAAAAAGGACAGCTCTTTGGTACACATCGACTTTGTCACAACGATCTTTCTCACTATACCCATTAACTTGAACGTGCTTTTTGCAGGTACCTACACTCATCCACTTATCACACCAAAGGATTTTCAAAACCATGTGTAGAAGAAGTAACCATTTACCATTTAAAGCCACACTTTTACACTACTAACGTTGAAATGTTCATGAAACGTACTCTTACTATTTCTAAAAATAATTTCATGTATCATAAGGTCTACTCTGAAGTTAGTCTCAGCAAGAGTTTGCATAACTTAGGGTAGGGTGATCATAGTTAGATGTTAGACCGATAACTTCTTATGATTAGCATGAGGAAATTAAATATTTTTTAAATAAACTCAATTGAGAACATAAATGGGCAGACATCTAAGGTAGGTCCAATACCATAATCTATTATCTATATCACATAAAAAAATTAATAATTTTGTTGAAAAAAAGGAAAACAAGAGAAAACCAATTGCCCCTAGACGTGAATATACGTGCAATTGCAAGAACTGATTGTTACCAAAAGAAACTAAAACAACTGAGCGTGAAATATATGTATAAAATGGGTTGGTCAATAACAGGTCGAACCAAAATGAAACAAATGGCAAACGAGAATTTGGAGGGGTGGTTCCTAAACAATGATCAGATTACGCATTAAGAGGAGAAACTGATTGCATTTCTTGGGTTCCATCCATGTTACACTAACTTTGATACATCTTTGTCACCACTTTTTAGTCCCCACACGTTCTGTATTCGCATAATTATTTTCCTCTTGGTCACTTCCGTAGAGCACATGCAACACTTGAAATTGACAACCTGGGCTAGCACATTTAACTCATTTCATATGCTTATCTAAAATTAACATGCTTGTGGTTCTTTTTTCATACTGGAAATTGAATAGACCCGCCATTAGTAATGTCTTAGTTGCTGATTTATCTTGTATGCCCGTCTTTGTGCTTCAAGATCTGCATTTAGATAAGTCAACCATAATAATAGCATTAGAGCAAAATAGTTGAAGCAGGATTTGATTGGATATTTTTAAGCAAATATTTATAAAAAACTGGAAAGTACTTGATGGAAATAATTTAATAGAAGTGATCTTGTTATGGCTAATAATTTGCTTTTAATGTTATTGAAAATTGCAATTATAAATAATTGATAGTATCAAATATTAATCATTTTCATTCCTTAACTATTATTTTTGAGATAATTGTTAGTAAAATTGAAATAAGTATACAAAGAGTATGTTCAAATGCTAAATATATCAATAACTTTGAATATATTGCAAAATATATCATTGTAATATTTTTAACTTTGACACCAATAACTTGATTTTGATTAGCTTGGCTGTTAAATAAATTGAAATATATTTAAGCTGACCTAGCTAGAAACTACTTCATCAAAAGAAGGTCATCAGGGAAAATGTTTTCATGACCATAAACCATTGTACTTAGCTGCAATTACTTCCATACAATTGTTTATCTTTGATGAGAGGCCACAATAATTACTTATTATTATTATTGACAGACTATAGTCACAATAATTCTCTCATACATTAAACCACTTGATCACAATAATTCTATCATACATAAAATCTGATTTAGATAAGTATGAATTTTGCTATAAAAATTTATTTATAACAAATGTTATAATCAATGTTCTTAAAGAAAGTTTTTATCTTAAAATGTTATTAATAAATGTTTTTAGTAAAAAAATTAATCCGTTAAACCGTGCCTTTAGGACACTAATTTATTCACAAGACTATTAACTACCTGCATTTATGCATATATATATATATATATATATATATATATATATATATATATATATATATATATATATATATATATATATATACTACAATCGTAATTTTATAGTTTTCGTTCAAAAAATAGCATAGTCAACATTTCTTTGACTCGTACAGCGTTACAAAAAACTGTGTTTAAAACCTTTAGGTCAGTTGACTTTTCAACTACATGTTACATCAAAAGGTCAAATTCCTGTTTCATACTAGCGAATCATTTACCAGTGTTTTTTTAATTTTCAATTTTATTTTTGACAAA